CAAAGTACAGATTTCCACTGGTCTAATGTCCAATCCTTGTGTTTCTTGGCCCAAACAATTCTCTTCTTCTTGTTGTTCATCCTCAGTAGTGGATCTTTGCAGCAATTGGACCATGAAGGCCTGATTCACGCAGTCTCCTCTGAACAGTGGATGCTGAGATTGTCTGCTACTTGAGCTCTGTGATCATTTATGTGGGCTCTAATCTGAGGTGCTTTACTTTGTGGTTTCTGAGGCTGGTAACTCTTATGTATTTATCCTCTGCAGCAGAGGTAACTCTTGCTCTTCCTTTCCTGGAGGGGCCTCATGAGAGCCAGTTTCATCATAGCGTTCGATGGTTTTTGCGACTGCACTTGAGGATACATTCAAAGTTCTTGACATTTTCCGGATCGACTGGCCTTCATTTCTTAAAGTGATGATGGACGGTCTTTTCTCTTTACTGAGTTGAGTGGTTCTTGCCATAATATGGATTACAACAGTAGTCAAATAGGGCTCTCCACTGTGCACTAACCCTACCTCTGCACAACACAACTGATGGTCTCAAACACATTCAGAAGGCAAGTGATTCCACAAATTGACTCTTGACAAGGCACACGTGTTAATTGAAAACCATTCCAGGTGACGACCTCATGAAGCTGACTGAGAAGCCAAGAGTGAGCAAAGCTGTTATCGAGGCAAAAGGGGGCTACTTTGAAGAATCTAAAAATAAATCATATTCTGGATTTTTTAACACTTTTTTGTTAACTAGATAATTCCATATGTGTTCTTTCATCGTTTTGATGTCTTCAGTATTAATCTACAAAGTAGAACAAAATTAAAATAAACAAAAACCATTGAATGAGAAGGTGTGTCTTTGACTGGTACTGTATCTCTGGTGGCTGGTTAGGCCCCCATTAATTCCTATAAAAAATAGCTCAGTGGCACCTGACTCTTGGGTACCAAAATACTGGGATCATCAAGTTGATTTACGTTATTTAAAATTCGTTTTCCCAATGTAAAGAAATTGGAAACAGTCTTTTTGGGCCCAAATTATGTCAAAGACTGTTGCTCCACTGTTTGGCAACTAAAAAACAATGTGCTTCAATGCCTGGCTCACTTCCTGGGGGATTGGGAAAGACAACTTCTGTTGTTTTGCAGAAAAACAGCAGGTGATACAGCATGTGATATAGAATTACAAAATGTTATTGTCTCTCATGTCTAAAGTTTTTTTCCCATGGTGCCCACCTCTGAAGGGTTATTTTTACATCAAATAACACACACAGACACACAGTACAGTGTTCTGGGGGACACGTTGATGGAATGTGAATGTCAGCGGTCTCTTTATTTACTCTCCATATAAAACACTGAGCAGTAATTAACAGCAGGTATACTCCCCAGCCGGAGGGTAATTGACTGTTTCAAAGCGCCAACACTTCATAACCCAGGCTGTGTGTATGTGTGTGTGTGTGTAAGAGAGAAACTGTATGTGAGAGAGAAACCAAATGTGTATGTGTTTGTGTGCGAGTGTATTGAAATGAACTCCTTTATATTCTACACCTCCCCCGCCTCTCCTCCCTTCCTCCCAATAAGGATAAGGGTCAGCAGTGGTGGGCAGAGCCACTCAAACGCTCCAGATTTCTTTATGAGCGCATTAACATTCAGGCATATTCATTATCAGTAAGTGTAGTAAGATGGACCAAGCAGAGACCTTGTGCCACCATCAAAACGTGGACTGTTAATTTCAGGACGTGAGCAGAATGTTCTCAGGGGGATCGGAAGTCTCTTTTCTTCATCAAGTCAACAGGGTCAGCTGTGGATCTTTACGTATAGATTCACGTTCCAGCAAGTGACGGAAAAATATCCTTTTCATGAACCTGACCTACAGAAGGAATTTGATACTGTACAAAAACAAAAATAAATGTTTCAGTTTCTATTAAAATACATAGTTTGACCTTGCTAATATAAAAGTGTTACAACTTACTTACGAACTTTGCACTTTTTCTTGCTATTCACATGCTTAATTGACTTTGTCAAAGCTATCATGAACAAACTCATAGTATAGCAGTGGTGAACCGTCAGGGCCTTCAAGATATTCAGAGAATACCCTGGAACACTCAGATAAAACAAACAAAAAATCTAATTAATTATATAAATAAAATGTAAATAAAATGAATAAAATAGAATCGCATCTGTGTTGTTGATCTTTAATATTACAGTGTTACGTTGATTTGTTTGTCTTTCTCGGTCCATGCACTACGCATGCAACCAATAAGATATTTTTCTGGGTCTCTGGGAAGAATATCCTTCAACCAAGGTATTCTATATCCTAGAATGCCCTGGCCGTTACACTGAATGAGAGCGTACGTTTGGATTGACAGTTTGATCAGCCAATCATATATTGATTTGTAGCCAATGGGCGTATTCTTTCAGAGTTTCCCTCGGTTCCAGGGTACTCTAGAGCAGTGGTTCTCAAATGGGGGTACGCGGACCCCTAGGGGTACGTTGGAGTACTGCAGGGGGTACGTGAGATTTATTTTATGTTAATGAAAAAAAAAACATAATTAATGCATTTAAACAAACTACTAATAGTAGATTAACTACTTTATTCAAAAGTGTAAAGTAATTCTGGATAATAAAATGGGAAAAATAAACGGGGTGCTCTCTTTTCCTCTCCCTCTCCTGACAGCCCGTCAGTCTCGTGCAGCTCGCTGAACCTGTAATAAGTGACCCGACAGTAAAGAATACATATATTTATAACTAGTTTAGCTAGTTCCAGAGTAGATAAAATAGCTAAGTGTGCTAGGTCTAACTCTTAGTGTATTTTGCTTCGCTCAACGGTCCGTCACAGCGGCGGAGCTGTGATCCGGAAGAGCTGCGTGTTCTCCGTCAACAGCAGCTGATCTGATCTCTGATCTCTCGTCCGGTTATACTTCACTCGCATTTATGTCCAAATCTATCAGATCTAGCTAGTTCTAGTTAATTATATGACTGCCTGCTTATCAAAGGACACCTAAACAATAAGCGTTGCTTGGCAACGGCGTGTGGCCACAAAGTATAGCGCAGCATTATGCATATGTTTATGAGGGGTCAAAATCCCATGCTCATAAAATGCTCATATATTTTTTTCTATTCATTCCCCACTCCCCAAATTAAATAAATAAATAAATATACCAACTTTAGGAAAAGTAACGAAGTTTGAGCAGTGTGGGTTTTATATGAACAGAGTTACACATATTTCAAAACGCGAAGTGTAATAACTGCAGTTTGCCTCCCTGTCAGAATAACAAAGATCCTCAGTGAAGCACACCATGTTTGTGTCTACAGAAGGTCCAGTTGTGATAGACACGGTTCGCCACTGTAGTAGGCTATAGTATGGCGAAAATATCACTAAAGTCAGAGTATACTATGTCGGAAAAGTAATAGTATCGATTGTCAAAACATTAAAAAAAAAAGTCATATCATAGTTTGTTTATAAAATGTGTAATATAGTCGAAAACATTATGAAAAAAGTGTAGTAGGTTGAGTAAATGATGTCAAAAATGACGTCAATAATATGAAAAAAAAGTCATAGTATGTCGAAAACGTAGTGAAAAAAGTCAGTTTAGTTTGTCTAAAATATGACATAAAGTCATAGTATATTATGTCGAAAAACTCATAGTATTCTAAACATTTCATTTATGTCATAAATAGTAATTGAATAGTATGTCGAAAAATATAAAAACATTTAATTGTATAGTTTGTAAAAAAAAAAAAAACATAGAAAAAAGGTATGTCGAAAATATCAGTAAAACATGTGATCTGAATGGCTGAAGATCATTGAGGTTTCCATATGTGAATAGATCAGTGTACAGAATAACCGTCCAAATCTCTCTGGAAAAACTTGAAATGTATTGTCACTCTGTTTATGATGACTACAGCACATAATACTGTATGCAGCAGTCATACGAATGACAAGCCAAGTAACTGTGTTCAGCTGCTTCATGCTCACATGGGGCCATCTGCTCTTCTAGGGAACATAAAGTTAACGACAGGCTTGTTGAGATGTGTTAATTAGACTGTACATTTGCTAATTGATTTTGTTAATTAGGTTTAGAGGGGACGGGTGCTAATTGTTATCTCTTAATTTATGTTAATGGGTGTTAAAAGATGCTGTTACCTTAGTTGTAATTTCCCCAACAACAACAACAGCAGACACAACATGGTGTCAACTAAAGGTGCCAACACAATTAGAGCTCCTCTGAGACATGTAACCCTGATTGGCCATGACGCTAATTAATGCTAATTAGTATGGTGACAGTTAAAGGCCTCTAATTGACAGCAGTGCTTGGCCTTCATTGTGTATTTATCTGGCTTGATTCCACTCAACAAAATGTAACATTTACCGTTTTGTTCCTTCAATAAATGTTGCTATAAAAGGACAGAGTGCTGTTTGTAGGGTTTGTTGTGCCATGTGTTGTCTCTCTGGTCATTGAGGCATCAGAAGGCTGGCTGTACGGTCCTTTGTGATCAAAATGTAATTTAAAAAAGGTCGACATAACAGGGTTTGATCCAAATTCCTTCCTAAGAGATAATATAGTGGTCTAACATCTTTTAATGTAGAGTATTTGGAGAACTGATACAACAAGCTAAAAAAGAAAAAAGACAAGTAAATCCAAATGTCAGCCATCCTGCAGGTCTCCCTTGAAAAAGAGATCGATGATCTCAATGGGACCACCTGGTTAAATAAAGGTTTGAAATGAAATGTTTTATTCTTGAGTATTTCAGTACTGATTTATACACAACTGTATGTAAAGATAACATCTTTAGATCTAGCAATATAAATATTTAAACATTCAGAGGAGAAATAACTCCCCTGTTCTCTTATTTTGTCATAACAGTAATATGAACAGGCAATGATTGACGCCCAAACAATACCAGTCGTACATTTTCTAACAGCAAAGGCTCTTATCACGTTAACAAATACGTGCAACATAGGAGTTTTGTAGAAACACTAGCATCCCTCAACAGAAGAGTGCATTTTTGGTTTAGTTGTCAGTTTTCCGTCTTTTGGGCAGACGAAGCCTCTCTGTGTTGAGGAACTGTTCGATTTTGGAGATCTGGGTTCTGAACGATGCCTGTTGGTCTTCCCTTTCCTGGGAGCAGGACAGGTCCCCGTCTGTGCTGGGACCTGCAGCTGAGGTGGGAGCTCTGCTACACCTGGTGTAAGAAAAAGAGATCACGAGGTGGCTTTGGTATGCAACTATAATATGACTCCTAATAGGCCTTTCTCACGGAGGAGATTTGGACTTTTCACAGTATGAAAAGCACATGTGTAAATGTTGCATTTAATGAAGGTTACTCTGATGTCAGGGTCCTGATATTGCGCTTGCTGGCTCACTTGTCTCTCTTGAATAGAGTAGGGATGGCTATCATAACGATTTTATCGATACCATGATGCTTATCAATACCAATATTTATCCATAATCTCCAAACTATAGAACATAAGTGAAAAACTATAAACTTAAAAAGTTTGAAGTTAGGCCAACTTACCCAGCAAGTAGTTAGTGATTAAGGCAATGCTCCACTATAGTGAAGGGCTGTAATTCTTTTAGTAAAAACTTGCCGACAGCCCTGTGACTCTTCGCCGTCTCTACCCATGTCATTTGGAGATGGGAGACTGCACTAAATATGTAGGTGTAACGCTAATGTTAGCAGCCACTTTGTTCAAGCAGTCAAACATGCTGTACTTCTTTGAGCAGAGCGTTCCTAACCATCCAACGTAGCGTAACACAAACACCTGTGGCACTGTTTGTCCAGCAGCTTATCAATATTTCAGTACCGGCCAATCACGGTTCTTGACCCATTCCTAAAGTGGAGCCATCGTTAGGGTTTTTGGTAGCACCTGTGCTTTTCTTCTATGACAAGCCAACATTTGAGCTGTGGGGGCCTATAACAATGCACTCAGCATGAACGATAAGGAAATCACCTTTATATCATGATCAAATAATGAGTAAAAACCAACATTTGGAACTTATTTGTAAAAATATCATATATTTTTTAACTAGCGTGGGACATGGATGTTAGACATAAAGACTGCCCCCGTGTTTTTCCTCACTCGGTTATTCACTCTCCCTGGGTAGGGTCAGTAGCTGAATTTGCAACCTTTTTGGAGGACTATTTAAATCTTGTAAATAATTTACACTGACGACTTCTTGACAATGTAAAGTTATAGATTCAAATTTTTAAGAGAGAGGTCCCACTGCAAAATCCAAATCGAAACTCGATAGCAATTCTGGTCCTCTTTATGTATGAGAAATGGACTTACCCTGGGGTGTTCTGCCATGACAGTCTGCTGACTGCTGTAGAAGTGTTGACGGGAAATGAAGTAGTGGACAGAGAAGCTCTGCTCCCCTTTGTAAAAATGACACCAAAAAGGGCAAATACTGAAGTTCTAGAGCTCAAACACAAGCTGTGAACTTCTATTTAGGCTGTGGAAAGGGAATTCATTCTTTCTCAAATCTCCAGTGACAGCTCCATTTTCTTAGTAAAAAGGACATTAACCAATAAACAAATGTGGGGCAGACAATAACCAGTGGCAATTGATATGAAACAGTATCCAGCCCAGAGAATGTATCCAGGCGCAGACTGAACTCTGCGTGACGTTCCCAGTGTTCACAGTCTGCAGAAAATAAAGGCTTTGGCTCTCGCTACAATTTGTAAAACCAGTCTTTTTTCTCATTCTCTAGGCTTGTTCCACTCTATCTCTCTCAATTGCCAGCACCTGGATCTTATAAAGCACAGAGTGACGGTTTGCGGTGATGGTGACAAAAGAGGCAATGAGAGCGTGTGAGAGCAAAACAGCGAGCAAGAGGACGGAGAAAGTGAGTGAGTGAGAGATGGATGATGAAGTGAGAGAGGAAGAGAAAGAGTGAGGACATGGATAAAGACTGAGTAAGTGAGAGAGGAGAGGTACCCAGGCGTCATTAGGTCCATGTTCTTCCACAGGTCATTCATTCTGTCTGTCTGGCTATCAACGGGACGTTTTCGAGTTCAGGGTACATCAGCGACCTCCTTTCACTCATCGCCGGACATTTGTCAAAGCTTTATACATCTATTATCTCTTACTGTACATTTTGCCTTGGCCTTTATGTGCTAGCTCATTCTGAGTTCTTTGCACCACAACAATGTTGAAAAAGCTTTATGTCTACTTTCTAAATATGTCAGGTTGATATAACAGACATATGCATTAAGCTCTAGCATTCATTTCCCGTGGGGTCCACTCAGACACATTTTATAAAATGATGAAGCTTAGAATCTGTGGAAACGAAATGACCTCAAACTAATTATTTGATAGAGCAATATCTCATGTGTTTCTATGTGAACCACATGATGTGGCCGTTTCCTGCTGCTCAGCATCAAGGTATAATTGTGTATTACTGTGATGTAATATACTTGAAATCATATGATCTACATCAGAGTTCCCGTTAGCCGGTAATTACCGGACAATGACCGGTAAAATATGCTGAAGTCCGGCAAATCTAAATCTCTCCGGTCAAAATGTCCGGTCAAAATAATTTTCCCTTAGCGCAATACCGCATCAGTTGCGCCACTTATGTGACAGACAAGAATAGTATGTGACAGACAAAAGAGTATGTGACAGACAAAAATTGTCAATTCTAATGTCTAACACTTAATGTGGAGAAAGAGATGTCCTGTATGGGTTGATTGTGCGTTGATCTGTTGGTAATGCCTCGGGGTTCCGGTGGGCATGTAAACAAATGCATAATGCTGCGCTATACTTTGTGGCCTCATCCGGTTGCATAGCGACGCTTATTGTTTAGGTGTCTTTTAACAAGCAGGTAGTCATATCATTAGCTAGAACTAGCTAGATCTGATCGATATGGACATAAATGCGAGTAAAGTCTAATCTGACAGGAGAGAGAGATCGGCTGCTGCTGACGAGTCGACACGCAGCTCTGCATGATCCCCTGCAGCGGCGAGCAGAGCAAAACACACTTCAGGTTAGAAAATCACACGTAGCTATTTTAATTACCTCTCAAACTACCTAAACTAGTTATAGATATGTTTAGTTTTACTGTCGGGTCACTCATTACTGGATCCGCGAGCTGCATGATACTGACGGGCTGTCAGGAGAAGGAGAGAGCGCTCCGTTTATTATTCCCGCGTTTTTGTAAATTACTGTACACTTTTGAATAATGTAGTTAATCTACTATAATTAGTTTGTTTAATGTCGAATCATATCAATTTGTTTTAAAGCTCAATAAATAACAAAGAAGACCTTTAACCGGCACTTATCTAATTTTGTCCGGAAGATTTCAACTTTAACGGACATGTTGACCGGCAAAAAAATATTCTAACGGGAACTCTGATCTACATAGCTATATATTGGGATTATATATATATATATATATATATATATATATATATATATATATATATATATCCACTCATACATCATATGAAGGTAAATTGTCTCAATATTATTTGTGTGAACAGATCGATAATCCATGTATAAAGCTGTAATCTGTACATTTTCAATAGCCTTCCACAAATGCAAAAAAAAGTGGATTACTGTAGATCATATACATAAAACCAGCAAACACACACAAAACCTCATTGTGTCATATTTACACAATAAATTAAAGAATATGTGTTAATTGCCTTTGGTTTGAAAAACAAAACAAAAACAGCAGTTACTATACTCTTACCATAAATGTGGAAACTAAGATGTCAGCAGGCCATCCAAAAGTGTCCGAATGTGTAAAATGCAAATCAACAAGTGTAGAATACACTTATAATATTCATATTATAAAATATTCAGAAATGCTTTTTATTCAAATCAATTCATTTTCACATATTTCTTTTTTTAATTGTTGAATGTGTTTGTATTTGTTTTGAGTTTCCCAATTTTTTGGCATTTGTGGAAGGTGTTTCACATTAACAGATTACACATTTACACACAGAATGATGATCTCTTCAAAGAAATATTATGAGAAAAATCCACATCAATACAAATGAAAATATATATAATACATATATAGTAGGGGTGTGTTATTTATCGGTGCTGTAAAAAGAGGCCCTATACTGTAATGCTTCTTGGGGTTTTCCCTTTCCTGTAGTGTGTAATGTAGGTTTTTGTGCATGTAAGTGTTTTGCAGAGGGAGTTTCTCCCCCCCTGCCTGAAGCACCTCCATTGGACTCCTTTGTCTACTTATGTAACATAGTGACATCACTATGTAACACTGGCGCTTCTATTGGCTAGTGCTCAACACACATTGTACGCGATAGGCTAACTCAGGGGTCGGCAACCGCCCTCTGCTCTGGCTCCCTTGAGCTTAGACAAAAATAAGAAGGAAATAAAATAAAAATATTTGTAGGACTATTTCTATTTTGTTGCACGGTTGAAAATGTTTCGTATCTTGTATTTTGAGGTGATACTGTGACACATAAAAAAAAAACTAAAATATGCGTCACATCCTGCTGCGGTTCCGCCCCAGCGCCTTTTCTTGCAGGTGAATAACCTAACCCCTGGCTCGATGAGCCGTGTTCCTCCAATAAAAGTATCGGAGGAACACAGAGGGTTTAATTCTGCGTGGACAGAGTTATCTGCTTTCACAGCAAACGATGCTGGCTTACCGGTATGTTTGATATGTGGAGAGAAGTTGTCAAAGGTGCTGCAGCCTTTACGTATTGGAGGAAAAACACGGAAGAGGAAGACAGCTGACGATCTTCATCATAATTCAATCAGTTAACTCTTTTTAGGGTGCAGCTATATGTTTTATTTATTTCAAAGTGGGCCCATTTTAATTATATTCATTTTCTTCAAATGTGCAGAGGACTCCCCAAGTGCTGTGTTGATTTATTAGAAGGCCTGTGTATTTTTTTTAATTCTCCTTATAAGAGTTCTTTGTTTATTATTAGAGGTAGGCCTAAACAGTTTTCTATAATGTAATACATAATAAATGCAAAACAACTGTAGTTTTTGTCTATGATGTAACAATATATACAACTTTATAAGCTATCAAGCTATCAAATATGTTTTGCGGCTCCAGACAAAAGAAATTGGTGGAAAAGGGGGCAAAATGGCTCTTTTGGTCAAAAAGGTTGCAGACCCCTGGGCTAACTAATCAGAGCAGACTGGGCTCTGGTTTCAGACAGAGGGTGAAAGAGGTGCTGCAGCACAGGCATTATGAGAAAAATAAAGACCTTTTTTAACATAAAAGCATGGAAACATGTCACAGTAGAGAAACAAAATACAAATATGAACCTGAAAAGGAGCATAATATGTCCCCTTTAACGTCTACTTCCTGCAATAATACTGGGATCAGATTCAAGCAGAAGTCTGTTTCCGTAGATTGCTGATTTTTGATTATCATTCTTTAAGTGTGTGACGAAAGAACAGCTTGTTACTTCATAATCTGTTCTGTAACTGACCATGTTTGCCGTCTCTTTGCAGGTCTCTCCCGAATCTTTCCGCTCTCCCTGCTGTTGTCTCTGTGTGGACGCTGCAGTCCCAGAGACACTGGAGGCATTCAACAGATCCGACGCCCTGCTAATCACCAAGGGGACTAGAAAGAATGAGGTGAGAAGGCAAGAACGGCAAGAGGGTAAGAATGAGTCATTATTGGTGATGGTATGAAATACAGATGTACACTGAGAGGTCACTATGTAAGAGGTTACAAGTGGAGCAGTACTACTTTGTTCCACAATGGCAAGATGCTTTATTTTTTAATGTAGCACAAATGCAACCATCACCTTTGGTGCGCTTGCTTTTGAGAAACAAGGGTATGGTGCAGTGTCTGAGTCCACTGGAATCACTTGTATTCTGCTCAGACATAGGAAATCCCTGAATAGAAACACAAATATTAGATATGGAGCAAAAAACCCATCATAAAAATACCAATTATATAGTGTATCCATTATTAATAGTAGTATCCATTAATAGAGTGGTGCAGTTATGAGTAAAAAAAAAACAGAAATCAATAAGAATTTTTGAAAATTCTGGGTCTATCGTCTCGAAATCAACGTTTTTTTTAATGAGCTTTTGGTTAAACGCCTGAAATAAGCTCTCTGGTTAACACACGCTGAAGAGCTTTTCAAATGTTGTCCTAGAACATAAAGTACATCAGTATAATATAATACCCCACTGGTAAATGTTTGAGTGGCTAAATGAGAGTACTTGACGCCAAACATTAGCTGCCGTTAGCTTAGCGCTGATGACGTGCAGCAATGTGGTGTTAATATGTAGATCCTATCCTACTGGACAAAATGTGTAAGAATTAAAAATCACAATAGCTTTATGTCAATGGAGCCCTTGCGATGCAACTTGTTAGGACAGTCTACCAAAATACGCTTCCCCTGCACCATTCTATGGTTTTGTGTCACCTTACAAAAAACAAGTCAACCAGATAGGATAAACTACTTATTTTAAACATTAATTGAAAATAAATACACTGTAACACTACACAAATACAGCACAAGTATTAAAGTATTGATCTGTACAGTTTATAAAGCTGTAAAAACTAAAGTTAAATTCCTTATACCACAACCAATCCTTTTAGGCTCACTTAAAGGCCACCAAATGGTAATTCTAGCATTTTCTTTTTGTAATACCTGAGCAGACGGATGTAAGGTGGAGGCTTCTGAATTTTTTCTCTTAGCACCGGCCCAGTCCAAGTACGACCTGTAAGTCCTATTGCTGGGCAGAGACAACTCTGAAGTACCCTCATGCAGCATGTCATTGACATTTATGCTGCTATTACCCGGCAATGCATTACTTCCATGACTTTGATGGACGAGCTTCAAATCAGTTTTACTTGTAGTCATCTTTGCATCTCCTGCATCTTCTATTTTGTCATTTTTCAGTTGTTCCCGACAGCTATGAGTCTCAACCTGAGATTCAAGGTCAACAGTTTCCATTGTGATATCAGCACAGGCGTCCTTCAAATTAGATTTTTCCACAGGATCCTGGGGAGCCTCAATGTTATCAAGTGTCTCAGCATTTGACTTGTCTTCCTTCTTTTTACATGCATTTGAATCACCATCATCATCACCATTGGCTACAGGAGACTCCAGCTGTACATTCTGCTCTGAGATGTCCTGACTTTGAGGTAATGCTTGTTGTTCAACCTCTGTTGTCACCAACACACATTCTTCCCTCACAGGTGTATCACCAATTTCATCTGTTAGCTTCATGTTTCTAGTGATGTCAGAAGGGTTACTCGCTTGTGTTGTAGCTTGCTCCGACTCTTGAATACTGACAGTACCATCCAACTGAGCAGCTAATGGTACAGAAAGATCAGTGGGTTTATTGGCTGATGAAATCTCGGATATTTTCTCTTCCGTTTTTTTCTCAAAAACTGGAATGGGACTTGGCGGATGAGCGAGTGACTCAGCAAAGGTCTGGACCTCATCATGACCGAGACGTTGCACTTGTTGATTTACGTTTGTCTCAAGATCGAGACTTTGGTGCTCATCAGAACAGACCAAATGTACTTCTTTCCTGGTCTCATATTCTTTCTTCACATGGCTGCAGTCAGCATCCTTCTCACTGACTGTCTGAGGAAGACTGTGAGAGCAGTCTGAGGGCTCACAGTCAGTCAGAGGTGGCTCAGCATCCATGGAGTCAACAACCTGCTGTGTGTTGCTCTTCTCGATAGGCGTATCAGTAGTCGTCTGGACCCGTATCTGGGTTTCTGCTGTGTGCAGCCCTGTCTTTCCTCTCTCCTCCGCTCCACATGTCTCTTCTCCCTCTGCTATATCTTTTGTTTCTGTTTCAGGCTGTTTGGGGTCCCCTGCATCTTCTGTTGAGAACAGGCTATCTTCTCTTCCGTCGGCTCTATCTGTTGTTTGGGCCATGAGCGTTCCTCTCTTTTCTCCTTGGACTTCTTCTCTATTACACTGCTCTTCCTCGTTTCTTTCCCCCTCTTCGATCTGCGAGTCCACAGAAACATCAATAGACCTGTGGACAGGGCTTGATACAGCAACTACTGTTGAAAAAAAAAAGATTTTCAACAGTTGGTCAAATTGTACCAGTCATTAAATGCCATAGCTTCAAGAATAAAAGAAATAGATTGGCATAGGAATTAGTCCTCAAACCTGGAAATGAGTTAAAACAATGTCAGGTCCCTTGTCTCAAAGTAAAAAATATGTTTAAACATGTTTTTAGTTGGATACCCATAATCTGTGGTTTTAGAGGTTTTCACGTTGCATTCTACGAGATAAAATATGTCAGTCAATACCCCACTGGTGAATGTCTGAAGCTTCTGTGCATCTTAAAAATTGTGATGCTAACTTTCGGATCCTACAAAAATATGTCCTCACTTCACCACTTTAGTTTTGTGCTTTAAAACATTTACCATGATACATGTTGGCACCACTCAGAATATGGCTGTCTTGTTGTCCTTTAACAAACTGCTTGTGTGATCTTAGGCCCCGGCTCCACGAGGACAAATACGGCAAAACGCATCGGAGAAACGCAAATGCAACCGCAAAAAACCTTCCGTCCCCACGCAATATACACCGGATTGTGTCAAGCTCCACGAGACGGCTCCGTTTACATCCAAACGCTGGAAAAGCTGCAGTACATATGCCGAACCTGTACGTGGCGCTGTAACTTCCTCCACAAAAGCAGCAACTTCCTCCACAAAATCAGCGAAGAAGAATGGTTGTCATGGCTGCACTTCTGTGTATTCTCCGCGGTGGGGGCCGACAGAACCGGGCAGAGTTTTTCGCCGGTCAGCGTGTGTTAAAGTTTAAATCTTCCGGACAAAATTATAAAAGTGCCGGTCAAAGGTCTTCTTTGTTATTTATTGAGCTTTAAAACAAATGAATAACGACGATATAATGATATATAATCATCAAATACACTGAGCCTGTCTCTTTTTCCTCTCTTCTCACAGCGTCAGTGTCTGTCTCATGCAGCAGCTGATCCTGTAATGAGTGACCCGACAGTAAAAATGAACATATTTATAACTAGTTTAGTTTGAGAGGTAATTAAAATAGCTAAGGGTGATGATCTGACTTGAAGTGTGTGTTTTGCTCCCGCTGCATCACAGCGGCAGGAGCTGCGTGTCTCCGTCCTGTCAGATTAGACTTCACTCGCGTTTATGTCCATATCGAGATAAAGATAAATAATCTGAATTCAAGGAGGAGCTCCTGTAGATGTTGCACAAAGAACTGTAGCATGGTCAGTAGCGACTGGAGCACGATAGCAACCCTGCGGGGGAGAGGCGGGGAGAGGCGGGGCTATAAAAACGAATGACCGTATAGGCGACTCCACGGCCCCGTTGGACCCCCCAGAGCGCTCTGTTCCCAGATCTATCCACCTTTGGACCCGTTGTCGTTTGCGGGGTCTGTTTCTACGTTTCCCTTACGGCGTCGTGGAGCTTAGAGGGCTATACGCATGAGAAATATGCGGATTCAACCAGTTTTCGTCCTCGTGGAGCCGGGGCCTTAGTGAAATGCTGTGTTGATGTCTCCCTATGAAACAAGTTATTTGTGTATGTTTATCTACTGTATGTTTGTATGTAGCTGGCTGACCTCCAGTTGCTCCAGTGGTGACTATCTCTGTCGCAGCTCCACTGTCCTCCAGACAGTCTGGGTATCTGGTCTGAGTGGAGGCCAAGTGCTGCACGCTGCCAGAGCTAAGCTCTGCGCTGGAGATGGGTTCATTAAGAGTTTCCTCTCCTCTGATTCCCTTCACTAAAGTGGAGAAGACCTCTGTAGAATCACTGTGGCTCTGACTGATGTCTCTCATCTGTGTATAGAAAAATAAAAGGCAGGTGTTGAGGCTAAACAATTTCTTTTATTTCACCTATTAACACAACCCCATCAGAGGTGTGGTTAATGGATGTAGGGGAGTTTTGTTGATGTTGTTAAGTGTTTTTGTTATCAACCACACATGTTGGATGTTCCTTTGTTCAATTACATTTGCTTTTATTCACACTTGTTACAGTAGGTGACACCACATACAGGTGCACAGTTCACTAACTAACTCATTTAAGAATTCAGTCACATATTAATCAGCATCACGACAGTACTGAAATACCTTTGTCACAAGTTCATATCACAACAACAAAGTTTGTTTTGTCTTTGTCACGGACATATTTAAAAGACGTACTTTTTTTTAACATAACTTTATATTAACAATAGCCCCAATTTTTTTATATTATTAGTACTGTATTTATTAATTGTGTCCATTTCCGTTTACGGAATGGAGTGGGTACACAGGTTTCATTCAGATTATTTTAACCTCTAACTTAAATATCCTTTTTTTTTGTTTGTCTTATGTTTTATGTGCCAGATTGTTAAGGCACTTTGAGCCTCATCATGTGTAGGTAGAGTGCTATAAAATAAAGCCTTATTATTATTATTAATTATTGTTTTTCTAATTATAAGAATATTGTATTTATCCTGAGGGGAAATTAAGTTTTGTTACAGATGCAACATTCTAGAATAAAATGAATGAATATTAATATAAAAATAATAATGAATGAGTTAATTATAATGAATATAATGTTTTGTACCTCCAATTCCTCTCTATGCTGAGCCTGCACTGAAGCCTGTGAGGACAGTTCAGTGTTTTTCTGATGAAGCTCGTCGTTAGCCTCTTTCACAGCTTGAAGTTCCTGCTGCTCACTCCTGATGCGACCCAGAAACATGGCCTTCTGTTGGATGCAAAAGCACAGAGACAGATTTAAAGAGACATGATTTCTCTTTCAAGATGTTTCAGTAAAGCAAACAACAATAAATCACTTCCATTTTTCTTTTTTTGGCATTATAATCTACCTTGTGAAAATATTTGTGTGTCATATAAAAATGTCAACATCACACTGCTTCTCCCACACTTTTTCTTCTACCTCTTTGTCCCAGCTGTTCTGTGAAGCCGTGTAGCTCTCCATCAGTCGGGCCGCCTTGTCTTCCAGGGCCTTGCTTTTCTCCCGCATCGCCCGGTGCTCCTGCTTAAGGGCCTGCAGTAAAATTAATCACCCATAGGATTTTTAATGCAATACTAAATTTTTATGTGTTTATTTAACGTGAACAGAAGGTCTTAAACAGAGCAGGGATAGAGAAAGGACTTTTTGCTAATACAAATCAGTTGGCTTGTGTCATTTTAATAATGATTTTAATAAATGAATGAATAGGTGAATAAAAAATGAGAGAACAGAGAGAAGAAAAGAGAACAATAAAGTGTAAAGCCATAAATGGGGTAAACAAACTAACTATCATTCAGTTGCGGAGGGGACCGTATTCACTTATGTATATGTGTTGATATACAACAGCACATTCATCACATTGATGGGAAGAAACTATGGCCGTTATTTATTTCTGTCCTTGTGTAAATTGACTCCATAATCATTTAAATAGACCCTGAAAAAGCCCTTGTGAGGCCAATACATGGATCGACCTGTAAAAATACACCACATTCTCTATCATAAAAATAAATGTTGACTTAGTTCTTTTAAGGCATCAAACTGAACAACAATTAAAGGGGCCCTATTATGCTCATTTCAGGTTCATATTTGTATTTTGTCCTCTCCTGTGACATGTCTCCATGCTTTAATGTTCAAAAAGCTCTTTATTTTTCTCATACTGCCTGTGCTGCAGCACCTCTTTTCACCCTCTGGGTGTTTCTCAATGTCAAGGAAGGCTCCTCCAGAGCCACTATTTCAAGGATGCTACGTCATCGAGTCCCGCCGAAGGACTGTTCTAATGTCCAGGCTCCTTGGAATTCTACCGAGCCCGGCGTCCTTCGTAGCGAGAAATTTCGAGGCTGCACATGTGTATCCTCCGCGGTCTTAAAATCCCCACAATGCTTTGCGCACGGACCAATTTCCAAATCTTTGGCGGGAAATCGCACTCCATTTAAGGCGGGGCCTCGCATATGACGCACACCTGTTAGCCTGTTCCACCATTCTTCGTTTTCCGAGGCTAGGAAGGATTCTTGCCTCACATCTGAAGCAAGTGACTCAGAAGACATGTCCTACCAAGGAAGCGTCCTCGACATTGAGAAACACCCAGTCTGCTCCGATTGGTTAGCTGGCCGGCTCTGTTGTGATTCATCAATCGCTAAGATATATTCAGCCCCTTAACAAATCATGACGTGATGTGTCGGATCTCTAGCCAATAGTAACACGAGTGTCACAAAGTGATGTCACTATATTACAGAAGTCAACAAAGGAGTCCAATGGAGGTGTTTTAGGCAGGGGGGGGGGGGGGGGGGGAGTGTGTGGGAGAGAAACCCTCTGGAGGGAACACAGGGGTGTAAGCCTTTGCAGACCATTTACATGCACCAAAACGTATAACACACTACAGGAAAGGGAAAACCCGATAAGCATAAAAATACTTCTTTAAAAGAGGAATTTCTTTCTGTTTCATTAAATTACATTACATTACATGTTACTTGTTAGACGCTTTTATCCAAAGTGACTTACATACTCAATACTGTGGGAAATCCCCACAGGAGCAATTTGGGGTGAAGTGTCTTGCCCAGGGACACAACGACATGCTGACTGTAGTGGGGTTTGAACCTGTGCTCCCCTGATCCAAACACCAACGCCCTACTCACTGCGCCACACGCCTCCTGTTTCCTGTTAACAGCCCATTATAATTGTAAACAGCTGTAGGTGTCTTTTAAATAAACCCCATTCTGGAAGATGGGTATATGGCCAGTTCTATAGATACTCAATAGAACTTTTTTTTATTTTTAATGTGGATATGTATATATTTTCCCGTTCATTTTATTATTAGTAAACATCCTGCTGTAACAATTTCCCAATTTGGAAACCATAAAGTACATCTAATCTAATCGAATTAAAAAGTACTTTTAGTATGAACAGCAGTAGCATGTGAGCTACACATCTGTACTGATGTTTATGGGAACAATATGAACAGTTATGTTCATGAATCAGCAGAGGATGAAAGTGTGTGACCTGCTGCTGCTCTCTCTGTGTCTTCATCTCCAGATCGACTCTGCTGACTGTCTGCGTCTGACACAGCAGCAGCTGCTGGGCGTGCTGCATAGCCCTCATCACTTCCTATACAAACACACACACATACATTTTTGTATACATAATGAAGTCATGCAACTTAATTGACCAATAGCTTATTTTCACTTCCTCCAGTGAAAGAAAAAACCCTTTTAATTGTATTTTGAACAGAAATGAATCCTCCAAGATGACCACACCCACACAAATATCAGTGCAGAAAAAGCATCAGGTTTAAGGTGGTGGTTCACTTCATATGCTCTAGTTTTGTACCTGCTTTTCTGCTCTCACAGCTTCATTTTCCTCTCTTAGTTTCTTGTTCATTTCAGTTTCCTAAACAGAAATACAGAATAATAATGAAATACTTATAGCTTACCTGCTAAGTGTGATTATTTATCAGTGTGATCTTGATCAGTATCATATTGCTTTGAGGCTATTATCTTCCTATTATGATCCTTTTCACTGAATGTTACCATGTTGAGTTTCTGGTGCAGCTGCTGGAAATGCTGCTCTCTGCCTGTAGGACTTTGGGCCTGGTCATGTCTCACTGAAGACATCTTGGCCTTGATCAGCTTGTTACTAACCTCCTCCACCTCCTGAGAAAGCACCATGCATGAACAAATTATAAAAGTGGAGAATAATCCAAGTTGATTACTTTCTGTGAATACATTTGTATTTCTTACAGGCTACTTCTTAGACAACCATGGAACTGTAATGGATTGAATACAGTATTACAGTATTGACTATGGATGCAGTTAAAAAATGCTAAATCATTAAGCATTCCTTTCCACATACCTTTGTTAGTGACACAATGGTTGCCTCTTGTTTTTCACATGCAGTTGTCATTTTCTTATTTATTTTCATTGCCTCATCAACTGTAAGAAGTACACAAGTTAAGACACCATCATTAATACATGCTATATGACATAACTGAATTAGTCTTACATGAATGTGTGTGAGTGACATACATGTAGGGAGATACGAAGAGATTCAGAAAAGCAACAATAACTTATATATTCACCTATATTGAATATTTTCAATGTAGTGGTCCTTAACCTGTTAAGCCCTGAGCCTGTTTTTCAGGTCTCAGGCTCGAAAATGACATTCCCAGAACAAATGACCATATCTTCCCTTCTAAAAGGGTTAAATTAATAATCTTTTTTTTCTCAAAGTAATGATAAACCTGTGAGTTGGATGTAGAAAAGTCAGAATCAATATAGATGTTTTTTATTTTAAAGAAAATTCAGATTTTACATAGTAAAAAACTGTAAATTATAGTGTCCGTCCAAAAATTCTTTTTTACTTATAGTGAAAGCTACCCTTGGATGATGGTAAGGTAAACTAAAAGCTTTAGGAATCCAAAGTACAACATATAATAAGTACCCTGTATCAAGATTGATGCAAAACAAGTGACATTTGACCTTTTTAGAGAGATTTAGCAAAAAGAAACCACTTCTGGGGTCATTTGGGTGGATTTTCCATATCTCTGGCCTCCCTTGCTCGATTGTGATGGTTGACACCTCTTTCTGACGTTAGAGCCAATAGAATCGAAGGGGGAGTCCCCCACACACACTCATTGTGAAACGAAAAGGTGGGGGCTTCGTGCATGTAATTTTGCATCAGAGTGAACCTATCTCTAGCTTTGACATCTGGAAACGGAAAAGCAGTTTTAATGCTTATGGATTATCAGAAATCATTTCAAAGGGACACAGACACATTGGATTAACCTATGGATTAATTTCAGCAGCGTTTTTATCGTTTTAATGCCATTGAAGACCACTTTGGAGAGACTACAGAGCCAAGGTAAAAATGTTAGCATTTTTAGCTACCTAGCGTCACCTGTTTTGATGTCCGTTTTTGCTTATAACGTCGCAAATTCGTATAATTCAGTGATAATGTGGGTGCCCATCGATTCTGTGTCACCTCACGATGTGAAACGATGTGTTGGATGTAGAGAAGAGATAAATAATAAGGTTTTGTGAGTGATTTTCGGTGCAGTAAGGTGTTAGCATTTTTCGCTCGTTGCTAATTCAGAGGCTCAGCGTTAGCATTGTGGGTTTTCTTTTGAAAAAAAAAAAGAAATGATCAGTTAGATGAGTTTCTTCCCGTTACATGGATATAAAACATTCATAGTTTATTAAATGAACATGCCCTCAGACACTGTTTCCTGCAAGATGTTGAGGCAGTGCCCCGGTGCCGGGGTCTCTCGGGCTTAACAGGTTAAGCATTTCAGTAAATGCATAATGTAATGTTTAATTTAATACTTTCAGTTTTAAATTAAATAGTGAACAGAGATAGTGAATTTGAAATGGAAATAGAATTTGAGATAAGTGTGTTTAAAATCAGGTAATGTAGATGTTACAATGTACTTGGCAAAGTTGTGAGCTTCCAACAGAGCCGCCAGCTAACCAATCAGAGCAGACTGGGCTCTGGTTTCAGACAGAGGGTGAAAAGAGGTGCTGCAGCACAGGCAGTATGAGAAAAATAAAGAGCTTTTGAACATTAAAGCATGGAGACATGTCACAGTAGAGGCACTAACTACAAATATGAACCTGAAAATGAGCATAAAATGGCCCCTTTAAAAGTAAGCTTTAAAAAGAAAAAGGAGTCAAAAAGTAAAAATGTTTCTCCTTTAAACGGTGGCAGTGCAGAGTATTATTTTCTCTTTGACTGACTGGGCAAGACATGATTTGAGCAGCTTTGAACATCAAAAGCTTGATTTTGAGACTACAAAGTCTACATTTAAACAATAAATAGTGATAAAGACTAAATATTCCAATCACTGGATGTCCACTCAACGAAACAACATGCTATTTGTCAAAAGGTCATATCAGAACGCACAAAGCACCTGGGCTAATGCAACTCTTGGTAACTCTACTGCCAAATGTCTCATTTCACAGCAGGGTGCATATTTGTTGTCAACAGTATGAATCCATGTAGCCATATCAACAGGCTGCTAGTATTATTGTTGTGGGAATGCGTTATGGGCTAAAATAAAGCCCCATGGTAGCAACTGAGCGAGGTCTAACACTAAACATTGTAGCTGACCTGGGAGATCTTTCCATTGCCAGTTTTCTATGTATGAAATATCCTGGAGGAGCATTTAAAGAAACTTGACAGTGACCTCTCCTCATTACCCAGATTTGACCCAAAAATAATGTATTTCGGATGAAGTGAAAGTGGATATTAGCAGTAATTATTGTACTTCAAAAAATTCTGCACAAGCCGAGTCACTCTACTCCGTCAAATCAGCAGGGACTAACATCTCTGTGAGTTGTTTCCAGCACCTTGTTCCATTTATACCCTAAAGAATCCAGGCTGATATCGGAGCAAAATAGGGCCTCTTCTGGTGTCTAAGAAAGTGAACACTTGGTATTCAGGCTTTCAGCATAGTAGAATTTGTAACCCATCATCCATCAGCATATATATACCTTTCTGTTTACATATCCATACCTACATTCCTACATCCTTTAATTACCATTTTGCTCCAGTTTCTCGTGGGCCTGCTTGACCACGGCACACTGCCTGGACAGGGCACTGAAACGCTTCTCCACCTCTCCCAGCTGGTTCAGGTGGCTGTCCTTTGACCGGGTCTGCAGGGCTAGTTTCACCTCCTGTGGAATAGGTATAGGTCAAACAGACCAAAAAAACAAACAAGTGCCCCCTATGTATAAAAACAAGCCCTGGGGCCTCATTTATAAAGGGATATACGCTCAAAAAATGGTGTATGCCAGTTTCTACGCAATGTTTGCGATTTATAAAATACTAACTTGACGGGAAAATGTGCGGTCCTCCACGCAAACTCTAACCCATGCGTACGCACTAAGCACAACAACGGGAGAGACGAGAAACTGCGACACCGTTGGCAGAAGGAAGAATGGAGAGAAATATGTGGAAATAATACCATAAATAAAATGTTACCTCTCATTTATCAAATATGAAGAATTCATTTTCAAACATTGATTAAAGCCAATCTTAAAATGATTAAACAGACGCCTGTTTGAGACTCCTCAGTGCACACAAAAACATAACTTGGAGAAATAAATAAATACGGATATGCTATTTAAAACCACCTCGAATATGTTGTGTTAATGTTATGAAATGTTTTCTCATAAATGATGCAGTAAGCAGGAGAACAGAATTACGTCTAAACTGACGCCGTTTTGCATTTCTATAGGTTGTAGATACGAGCATGGTTTTATATACTATCACGTTTAATCGTGTTTTATGCCGTTTGCCAAGACTTGATAAGTCGCTCGTAAAACACAGGAGGTATGGAAACTAAGAACACCATATGTGGTAAATTGTACAGCTAATATAACACAACACATTAGTTGTATTTCCTTTAACTGGTGGATTATGGATATATAGTTGCTGATCGACAGCTGGAACACAAACCACCAAATACAACAAAATAATTCAGATCCAGTCGTCATGACTCCACTCCGGAGGGATTCCCCGATCATTTCTTACAGTTTCTCATCAAGGGGGTGTCTCCTGTCCCCGGTACAAACACACTGCCTGAGGAAGGTTATGTGTATTTTTTTCAGACCACTTATTTATTTATTTTGGTGACGATCCGACCTCCATGCTGCTACTCTGGTTCAAACTGCATCCACCAAACAATATGATTTATCTCGACCTCCCCACAATAACCAAAATCTGACACGGTGTGAGATGTCTTTTTTAGCTGTTCTGTCCTCATTTCCTGCGATCTTCTTCATGCAGTCAGTCAGTCAGAATGAATGAATGAATGGGCGTTTCTTTGACTATTTATAGGCAAATATGGGCGTTACGAGTCGATTGTGATTTATAAAGGGAAACAGGCGTAGGAAGTGCCGTACGCACTTCCCTCGCCGGTACGCAATGTTTTGTGAATCGGAAAATGGCGGAAAATGTATGTACCTATTTGTGTGCTTTGTACTACGTAAGCAACCTTCCTACGTCAATCCTACGCAATCTATCTATATAGGGAGCGGCTCCTCTTCACAGGGTCCACTATGTGCAGCACTGGGATTCTACAGTAGCCCAGAATGGATTTTTCTGCACACTAAGCCCATCTAGGTTGTTGGTACATGCTTGGAAAAAGACACAATTATTCTGTTTGTTACAATCTACAACCTGATCACTACTGAAGCACGGAGTTTGGACCGATGGAGAGGTGCCAGTTTGTCCTAGAGCAAGAAGACCAACAACCCAAAACTGCTCCAGGGGCACAATATTATGTCTGTCCCTACGCCCCCTCTTAAAATAAAAGCATGAGTTTGTTGTTGTATCAAAGAGGGATATGTGACAAGATAGATCTGAATTGCCTTACGTGAATTTGGCTTTTGTGAAATTGCCTTGTGTTTATTGACAAAAAAAACATCTTTTTGATTCCTACAAACAGTTTTGACCTTTAATGCAATGGTTTTAAACCTTAGGGAAAAACCTTGCCACACACATCCTGGTTGAGATTTTGTACACACTGTCTTTCAATATTAAGTAACGTCCAGCGGCTGGTTAGTTTGGCCTAAAATAAAGAATAGGAGCAGAGTGAAACCCGAGGTTGCAGAATCCACTTAGTGATCTAAAGGCTCCAGGAAGTCACCGTAAATAAATCTCGCCCATCACATGGATGTATAAAGAGAACTGGACACAGCGTTAGAGGCGGTCCCCGTTCATACCTTTAAAATGTGCCCAGTGGCGCATGCAGTCAAAATGCCCTGATAGGGCCCGTACAGAATGCAAACTGTTTTTGCGCGTTTTCCTAAAGCCCTGCCAACAATTTGGTTCACCACACGCCTGGTCCCGGCTCACTCAAATGAATGGAGAGGGAAAATAACTCTGGATTTGGCTTTTAGCAAATTTCACAACTTGTAATGATTTAATGATGGCTATTCAAGTTATTGTACAGGGTAGTTGATTTAGATTTAAAAAAAAAAAATTGTACTCTGATTTATATACTTCCTTTTTCGAATTTCAGTCAATGGGAAAAAAGTATTCTTGGTCCCAATGACGTGACTGACCTGGAGTTTTAGTAACACCAATTAGCCACAATGCAAAGGTGCTTTAACTTCCTACCTTCCTGGCACATAACTCCTTGTAAGACCCAGAATTGTCATTTCCAAACCTTGTTATTTATATGAATTAAACAAACACAAAACAACATGTAAATAAGTGATCTTTACTGGCAGGCTGATTTGCTGCTGGCTCTAGGTCTGGCTCTAGGTCTGGCTCTAGGTCTGGCTCTAGGTCTGGGAAAAGCCAATCATGAGGATAAAAAGCATTTTGAACCTTTTCATTAATGAAAGGAGTTATCCTTTAAAAAATAGGAATGCTTCATAAAGGTTGCAAAGTTTTAAGCCAGGCACAAAATCCGAGGAGGCCAAAAGTAGTTACACATTTTGTCAGATTAGTATCCTCTTCCTGTCACTGTTTTTGTGACTGAGAGGATCGTGGTTTAAAGGTCCCATGACATGCTTTTCCGGTTATTACCCATCCCCTTGTGTATTATGTAGCTTTTTTTGCATGTAGACCAGGGGTGTCAAACTCAAGGCCCGGGGGCCAAATCCGGCCCGTGACTTCATTTTCTGTGGCCCCACAAGAGCTTGCAAAGAATATTATATGTTTATTATACGGTTACATGATGATTTACAGAAGCACGTTGCCCATAAACTACATGTCCCACAATGCATCTCAAATTAGACTTTTTTTTCTTCTAAATATGCCTTTTTTCTTAGAATTTGCCTTTTTCTCAGAATTTGACTTTTTTTTTTTAAATGTTACTTCTGTTTTTCTATTTTACTTTTTTTCCAGAATTTGGCTTTTCTTTTTAAATCATTTTGTGACATTCTCACTGAAGAGATTTGCAATTATTTGCCCCAGACTTCTGCTTTCAGACGTAGTTAATTATGAAGTTATTACCCTATCCAATAATAATCCAATGCAGAGGCAATAATGTAATATAATACATTATTTTATATATATATTTATATATGTATTTTTATATAGTCTTAAAGTTACAACCGGCCCTTTGAGTACAGCCATAATGCTGATGTGGCCCGCGATTAAATTCAGTTTGACACCCCTGATGTAAACGGTCTGCAAAGTCACAAACCCTCAAAGTACACCCTGTAGCGAGTACAACTCTAACACAGAAAAGACCTGTCTATGCTGCCCCAGAACACCTCGTTGGAGATTTTTCTTTTTCCATTTTTTTCTTCTGGGAACCAAGTGACGCAACGACGACCCAATGGACCTATTGGTCCAAATGGACCAATCCACGGATCCGTTACGTTACGTCCGCAGAGTCGTTACGTTAAGTCCGCGGATTCCTCACTAACACACACTCAATCTTTTCTCAGCTGCAGCTCCGCGGATTTCTCAGCCTGAGACGGCGGGGCGAGGCTGCTGGTGTGTGTGTGTGCTCGGCCTGGTTTCGGGCTGGGTTTCGCTGTGTCTCGCTGTCTCGCCGACCCCACACAGCAACCAGGAAACCACACCAGTAAGCCAGCTCACACTGTCCGCTCCTTGCAGCAGCGAGCCTCGCAACGTCCCGCCAACACGGCACCCAGACCCCACGCAGCATTCTCATCTGTTTGTCATTACTGGTGTCATTTTCTGGTTGCTAACAAACACCATTGTAACACATAAACACTGATGTTCCGCTGTAACGGTGGTGGACTCATCAGAACAGAGTGGGCGAGCTGACCAATCGGAGCACACTGGGCTCACAGGGAGGGGGGGGCAGGAACTCCAACAAGCCGTTTAGGACAGAGAGTGAATACACATACAGTAGTATACAGAGATGCTGTATGAGAAACCAATGTGAGTTAGGAAAATTGCACAATGTAAATCTATTCTAGTATACCTCAACAATGGAATTATGATCAGTAGAAATGGCCATGACATGGGATCTTTAACACAGCTATTGCACGTCTCTTTTTGTGGGATGACCTCAGCACATGCCTCAGAGCGCTTTATCGCTCCTCACACTGCCGTTATAGTTTGATTGTGTGTATCAAGCTGAGCGGATTCTTTTCTTCACTTTCCTTTCCCCCCTCACTCCTTTCACTCTCATTCTCGCCCCCTCCTCTACACCGGCTCACTTCGCCTCCCTCTCACTCCGCCGTTATATGAAGAAGGTTAAACCGAGCGAGGCCCAGATATAAAACATTTTAATAGAGATATCTTCTGTGCTGTGCTGGCAGTTCAAAGTGTCACACACTCCCTATCCGTTACTCCTGATGAGCTCTTCCCTCAGAACCCATCCCTCCTTAGCACCGTTCCCTCATCCTCCTCTTTCATATTTCTCACTCCCACCCCTCCTCTATCAACAATTTGTATAAGTAACAAAAAAAGTACTTACCAGTTCACTGGATTTCTTCTCCAAGTTGTACTTCAGTAACTGCGAAAGAGAAGAAGAAAATCAAGATGAAGGATTTCATCTCAGATGAGCCGAGCATTGTGGCTTACTCTGAGTGAATTTGAGGTAGTTTAACCCAGAGTTTTTCAACCTTATGAGCCGTGGTAAATTTGTTTACAAAAAACAAAATCCTGCAGCACACAAATAACTGAAAAAGTTACTATATGACTGAAGCCTAATAAGTCTTTTTTATGTCTTGTAACTGCACTGTTGAGGAACCTACGATCTAAGTTTTTCAAACATTATATAATTACAATGTAGTTGTGTTTATGTTATGACAATAAACCTTTGAATCTTGAATCTAAAACATGATGACAATTTAATGACAAGTCTTTCAATTTGGTTACGAGTTCAGCTCCAAAGTAGCTAGCTTTGAGAACTTTCGCTTGTTTTATGTCATAAAAGTTTGGGAGTTTGTTTACGCAGGCAAACAAAATAGCCCATGTTCTTGTTTTGAAGTGATGGGTGTTTTGTCTGGAGATGACGTTTCAGCTTGCTTGGGACCATGGTAGGGCTGCTCAATTAATCGTATTTTAATCGCAATTACGATTATGGCTTGCAACGATTACGAAAACAACGTAATCGAAATAAAACGATTATTTTTTTATTATTATTATTATAAATAAAATATTTTTTTTATTGGTTTTTCAGTTGAATTATACTTAAAGTTCAGGGTAATCAACTGTTAAAAACATAGTGTTCAAAAAAAAATTCTCCAATAAATTGATGTTTTCAAAGTAAATGGATAATTGTTTTTAATAATCGTGATATCAATTATTGACCCAAATAATCGAGATTATGATTTTTGCCATAATCGAGCAGCCCTAGACCATGGTACTGTTGGATTTTATTTGCAGCAACTAAATAAGATTGTTTGGACCGATTAAGTGAAATTGGACAATTTCCAAGGGAACACCTGACGATCTCTCACAGCAAAGTGGTTGAAAATCACTGGGTTAACCTGGTCAGAATCCAAAAATCATCAGCTACAAGATATTCTGCTCATTGATCCAACAATCCCATATTTGTGTAAACATTCAATCAAGGTTCCACAAATGTATTAAACTGTATGAGACTGGTTTGTCAGCTGCTGAATCCAAGGTCAATAAAGAATTAGAAATTCAGGTTTTAAGCATCGACAATAGGAACTAAAGGGTTTATGGGGTGGGGGGGGTAAAATATCTACAAAATTTAGTTTGAAAAAAACTAACCTTGTGATTGTTTTATATAATATTAATATACTGTGTATGGAACAGGTATTAATCTACACAAAAATTGCATGTTTTAACTTTAGATTAATGTATTTATCCTATTGTTGTTGATTAAATAATCATTATGTATAATATAATAATTTTGGAAGACTCTTTTGGGCCGGATTAGCCTTATTGGGGAGATAGAGGAGATGATACTAAAAGGGACCGCAGGTTGAATTTGAATCTGCGTTCGCCACGAAAGGGACATGGGCCGCAGACTAACACAGAGCTACACCGCGATTCAACAGGACTAGAAAATATTGTCTCAAAGGAAATTGTAACCTTTAAATGAGGTGCTGTTATCAGATGTTCGGGAGCATTTAAACAACCAAGATTATATAAACCAGCATCAATGGGGTTCATGTTCTCACCTTTTAAGTGGATTCATGGGAAGGAGTATATTAAAATTAAGATTTTGTTTTTTTTCATTAAACAAAATGAATTGAAAAAAATTCATATTGCATATGCAGCCAGTGATGTAGGGGGCCAATTTCGGTTTTGCAAATGGTTAGAAGGGGTTAGTTCGAGAAGAACAATCCCAGTAAATGACCAAATGATAACCTTCAATATGTACTCTTAATTATTAATAAAAGCTGAACTAAGAAAAATATTTCTGTTTTATTTCAAGAATCTAGGGGGAAATTGGGATTTGTGACGGTTAGTCCATTTTTGAATAATATAAAATAAAATATGAAAAACATTTCTGTATAGAAACATAGTGTAAAGTATGAATGTGCAATAAAAAGATAAAACAAAATACAATAAAGATATATGTGACCCATAACTACAGTACATACTATGGATGTTCACAAGCCATCTGATTTATTGAGATTAAATTACACTGTTATGATGAATTATTTAGATTTAATTAAGGATTAATTGAACCATGATGTTCCAATGGAGCTCACAATTGTAATTTAGCAATCGTCAAGGTATGGCAATTAAATCACTTCAATCCCGACCGCCGCTGATGTGTGTTAAATTAAAGGAGTCCACCAGACCGTGTCACAGGAATTAACACCGGGCCCCGCTTTATCCCAACACCACTCTCAGTGTCTCCCAGATAGAATATCAAAAACAGTCTCTATTGTCTCTGTGAGGCGGCCGGGCTGTTAAAGTGCAGCGGAGCGAGGGGGGGGCTGTAGATCACCTCTGGGTGTCAGGCCTGAAGACCACCCCTCTGGGAGCCAGACTGAGTGAAGCGTGCTCTAAAACCCATTAACTCGGTTTGGGATTTCTTTATGTACTTATGTCTTTGAACAGTTTACATTTAAATCAGTTATTTTCAGATTTTAAGGTAAAGAACAATAAATAAAAGCTAACCTTAAGGAGAGATTGCTTTGTCAACATGTTCTATAGTATTTATATACTATGTGGGAAGTATTTATTATTTATATACGGATATTGTAAGCTTTTAACTATTGATTCCTATATTTAACTTATTTTTGTTATTTAATTAACTATTATGTCAGTTTTGATAAGTGAAAAATGACCAGTCTCCAACCAACCAAGGCATTAATGCAAAACTGAAAATCATGACATCTTTACATTAGAGAAGCTGGAACCAGAGAACATTTGGCAGTTTTCTTTTAGTTACTTATTATTTGTTGGGCCAGATTAGCCTTATTGGGAAGAAAGAGGGGGTGACACTAGAAGGGAACACAGGCAGGGTTCTAACCTGGGGTCATAAGAAATAGAAAGGTGGGCATAGGTAAGACAGAGGCCCAATTCCAAACTTGCCCCAACACGCTCCGTCTGTAGTCTCACTCTCAGCTGAATGAGGCTCCTTCTTAAAAGGTGGAGGGTGTAAATAGAGCGGCAAGATTTGAGACGGAGGACCCTTTCAACAGGACCTGTCTTAACTTTCCGTAACAATAGTTTAGAGTCAGCATCTCTCCCACAAAAAATAATACAAACTAAGAATTTGTTTTTCTTCCAACATCTCTTTAATCTTAATGTCCATGAGCTGCTTGGTTTTTGCAAAAAAATTTGATAAAAATAAATAAAACGTTCAGTCAAATTAACAATTGTTTAACTAGACACTGGTATGATCTAAGTAAAAAAACAAATAAATACAATGTAACCTTGAAGTTGTTCACAACTCGAACACAAAATAAAATACATTTTATTTCGCAGTTTGCTATATGTTTGCACAGAACTATTTACACATTAGTTCCATGGACAGCTGGTTAAACCGGACTGATGCAGACTCACGGGTGAAAGTTAATAAACTCTAATCCACACTACTTGGTTTTGAGCGGCCCCTAATGTGCTGGACTCTCCATGAGAACACGCAAGCAGAGAGGAAGTGAGTAGGGAAAGGGTGTAGGGGTCAGTTTGGATTTGGGCCTGAGACAAGAGGCAGTGTATGTTTCACATCCCATTACCTGTAGCGTCTTCAGCTCGTCCTTCAGGTTGTTAATCTCCTTGTCTTTTATCTCAGCACTGACCTGGTATTTACCCTGAAATGTTATATTATTATCGTCAGTGTCAAAAAACAATAAATACCCAAGCACAGCACTAGAGAATCTACCCCACGGGCCAAGAAGAGATGTGCAGCTGAGACGAGTGGATTTACTACTCCACTGAAAACATTAACTAAATCAAATGCTCTGAATATCTCATTGACGTTTTGGGAATAAGATCTTCATACCTTCTCCTCCACTGTGTTTCTGATTTTGGCCTGAAGCTTGAGGACATAAAAGAAGGAATTGTTCAGGAAGTACTGTTAACAATCTTTGTAGATATAAAAGCTGTAAACAAATAGTGCAATCATACCTTTTTCTTCACATTGAGGATTGACTCAGTGTGTTGGTTGGCCACTGTTTCAATCTGACGTTGTAGGGATTCCTGTCATACAGGAAAAGACAAAACCAATCAAAGTAATTGATGATGAACAAAGTTTAAATTCTGGATAAATTGTTCGATAAGAGCCTGATCTTTTGAGAATGTCCACCTATGTAAGTTTTGAATTTCAGATATTAGAGTTGTAAAACCAGCTGTACCTTCTCCCACTCCAGCTCTTGCTTCTCCAGCACCAGTTTACTGATCTGATCCTCGAAGCGAGTCTCTGCATCCTGAACAATGGGAAGGCATCATTACTAAAAAAAATGTAATCACGTGATTAATCTAAAGTTTCACAATACTATTATTTACTAGTATTTAGGGGGAAATAAATCAAAAACACATATGGTGTTGTAAAAGAGAAATGCATGCCAAACTGGTAAGAGAAACAAGGGTTTTTACATTATTAATACATCTCAGGTTAGTTGTTTTTGTCTATTGACAAATCGATTCCGCCCGATGCCAGTAGTATTGAAACTGTCGGCAAGTGCTGCTCTCAAGGTTGAAAGCCGCTGACATTTTGTTGCGCAACCAATCAGATAAGAGCTGTATGAAGCGATGCAAGCTAGCAGGGAATGCAACCAAAGAAACAAAACTACCTAGATGTTTTTACTGCAAAGCTCTGCGCCCAACCTCTAGGTGAGCAATTAACAAATCATGTAACATGTAAATGCAGCTTGTGAATGACATCTGTTCCTACTGTATAGCGGTGACCGTGTCTCTTCCACTTCTGTGCAACTTTAAGAAACTGGAGCATGGTTCGTCAAAATGCCTTTCCTCCGTCTTCACCACACGTAAAGCGCACGAGTGCAGTTGCCATTTGTCATAGATTTGGTATGCCATTACATCAAGGTAGTGATGGCTGCTTACCGTCTTGTGATTCATGGCAAAAATGGGCGCAGGAATTACTATATTATTATATATTTTCTTACTTTATATAATGCTGCTACTTAGTTTTGTTTCCATGGATGTGTACTTATTTGATGTGTTTGCCTCTTTATTTAATATGATAGTCTACTAATGCAATTTGCCTTTTGATCTGCACAGTCCCCTTTGTTGTGAGATTATAAATTGTACCCACTGTTGAACAAATATAAGATTTGTCATTTAAAATTGAGATGGGAGAAATACCTTCTAAGCAGGCATGGTACAGACTGAAATCGGATAACTCTCTGGAGTTGAGCCAGAACTGCAAACTGCATTAAGTTCCCCTGAATCATTCCTCCGTATCTTTTATTGAAGCACATGGTGAAAAAGGAACATTAGAGGGGAGGCGATATTTGTGGAAAGCCATCCCTATCCTCCCTCTTCTCTGGGAGAAGGCAGGTAAAAGTCAATTGCTCTCTATATCCACAGGACTGTTTTATGTGCATGTGGGAGCTGGTTAACTCGCTGAGTTTATTTTATAAGTTCCAATTAAACTATGCTACCAGCACTTTAAAAAAAAAAGGAGTGCACAGGAGATAAAGCTGTTATTTTTCCACTGAGGAATCCTCACTGTGTCTATACGTGTTGAAGAAAACACTAGAAAGCTTTATTAAGCAGAGGTCAATCTAAATAGGCAACTGCAGATCAACCAAGGGCACTTCTGATTTATATTTAGATAAAAAGTTACTTATAATATTTGATTTAACTAATTATTTGAAAATGCATGATTGTTAACGTCATATATTTGCCATAGATTTGATCCCTTTACTGTTTTACTGCTGTTCTGAATGGATGCTTTTTACTAGGCATTAAAAAAGAAAAAAACAAGTATCTGGGCATAGAAATTGTGTATTTAATAGTCTAGTTACTCTAGTTGGATAACTTATACAAAGTTATCCTTAAGTGTTTCATTAGGGTTAGAGCTAAACCCCAATTTTAAACCTTTCAATGCTTTTTTTTTTCAGTTTCAAAATATAAAAGAGCCGATAGGGGCCCTATTAAGCAAATGTTCAGGTTCATATTTGTATTTTGCTGTGACATGTCTCCATGCTTTAATGTTCAAAAAGCTCTTTGTTTTTCTCTTACTGCCTGTGCTGCAGCACCTCTTTTCACCCTCTGTCTGAAACCAGAGCCCAGTCTGCTCTGATTGGTTAGCTGGTCGGCTCTGTTGTGATTGGTCAAATTACTTAGAAATGTCCCGCCCCTTAGACTATCACGTACAATGTGTTGGAGCGCTAGCCAGTAGAAGCGTGAGTGTTACATAGTGATGTCACTATGTTACAGAAGAAAACAAAGGAGTCCAATGGAGGCGTTTCAGGCAGGGGGGGGGGGGGGGGGGAGTGTGGGAGAGAAACTCCCTCAGAAGGGAACTTACCTCTGGAGGGAAAAACTAGCCTTTTCAGACCGTTTACATGCACACAAACCTTTATACCACAGGAAGGAGCATAATGGGGCCTCTTTTAACAAACATAGTGTGATATTTTATTGATAAAGTCCTTCCATTATGCATGTTATTGTGATCTGTCACAATTTCTGTCTTGTGTAAATAAGACAGATGTAAATAGGTTCTCAGCCCACAAAAAAATCTTTATTAGTTTCAAATTTTAAATCTCTCATTTTAAACCTTTCAAAGCTTTTTTTCAGTGTCATAAAATGTTCCGATTTGATTAAATTCCTTCTGTTAGAATATGTCTTAATTCATATCTCACTTTGAATAATTAGAATTTATTCTATAAAAGTCATATGTATAGGCAACATCCAAGTGCTTTGCCATTTGGGGTTAAGTCTACCAGTAAACACATTCTTAGAAACAAAAGCAGTGGGTTGTCTTGTATTCAAAAAAGAAAACAAACCCATTGGAATTTGACCTGCTCAGGAATGTCCGGCACCATCATTGCATCCTTCTCAACCTCTCCACCCCATGAACGCTACAGATACAAAGTACTTGGTAGCAGCATTGCCCGAGGAGGAACACTGATATAACATGTTACGCTCGTGTCCCAGTTGACATGACTATAACAATAAAAACTAAATGGGAACAAACGACTAACATCCCATTTGGCTGGCTTAACCTTTAAGCACACTCGCACTGTGTTGTTAGGTTGAAAGCACTTGCTGGAGGGTAGGAAGCATTATTATTTATTTTAGTTATTTTTACAAACAAATGTTCTTGCTACTTATTGGTCAGGAGTCAAATGGCTTATTTGACCCCTATCTCAACACACAGTGCGTCAGATCTAGCTGGCTATTACGGCCAATAAGGGGCAGATGGCTTCCTCCAGGAAACTGTAACACCACCACCACCCCCCCCCCCCCCCCCCTCCTCCTCAGCCAGACAGCCATTAGTGTCTTAAGGCTGCTACACACCCACCTGAGACCAAAGAACGCGTGCCAAAGGCGTCCCGACTTTTACGTCAGCTACGTCGCCTGGGTCGGCTATGTTGCCCGCTACGCCGCCCGCCTACGAACACACCGCAAATACTTCAGTCGACGAGTGGCAATAACTGTCCTTACCAGCAGGCAGCGGTAGTGTAAACAGCCAATCAGAGTGATTGCTTGGGCCGACTTTCTCTGACCTCCCGCGGCCGATTCAACATGTTGAATCGGCCGCGGGAGGTGTGAAAAGGTGCCGTAAAGAGACGACGGTGCGGGACACACCAACCTGAGTAGGGCGCCGCGAATGCCCGACTGCCTCTGACGGCCTCTGACTCCCAAAATTGGGTTGGTGTGTAGCCAGCTTTAGTTCTACTCAGTAAATAGTGCTGTGATGCAAAGGAAGTATGCAATGCTGAAAACAAAACAACTATTTTGACACTTCTCTACACTTTAACTGTACTCAGGCTGAATAATTAAAGCATGGATGTATACAAATAATTGGATACAGTGTTGGAGGTGGGGTCCTGTTTATTCCTAGGAAATTTGCTCAGTGGCGCTTGAAGCCAAAATGTATTTAAATTGGTTTCCAGGCTTGAATTTCTTGTTAATGGTAATGTAAAAGCATAGGATAGTAGATACCTCATTAGCCACTGCTGTATGTTACTGCTATTTGTCTGTTTCCGTTTTGTTGAGGTTGATTGTTGATATTTTAAATATATATATGTATAAAGCTTTTAAAAATAGCATCTCAAACAATTCAAAGCTTATTCAATTTCTATTAAAAGTAAATGTTAATTTGATTGACAAGTATCGCTAAACTTTTTTTTTACAGGTATTGTTTTTTATTGTGTCTTCAAAATAATAGTTCTTGAAATGTACTGTTGGAGATACAATACTGCATACATCTAAAAAGACACACACTGACAGTAATTGATACTTTACCCTTCGAATATGCAGCTCCTCCACAGCTTCAAGTAGATGGGTTTTAAACTCCAACAAATGTAGTGAGATGGTGCCTCCACTTTCTGTTTGACAGCGAGCATTAGACAGGGACAGTTCCTGCCCCAACATCGGTCCTCTTACCTACACAGAAGAAAATGTATGCTTTTAATTTAGCAATTCAAATACTTAATTAGCACTTAGTTTGGCAATATTAGAATACAAAACCAGACTACATGCCGAGGCTGTAAGACTCGTAAGTAATTTCTTCCTGCATACAATACAAAAAAAGAGTGTGTTTTTTAAAACAAAGAGAAAAATCATTATACAGTAAGTATTCCATGTTCTGTTTTTTAGAAATAAACCTAGACAAAATGGTTTGTATCAAAGGTTTTTAAGTTTAAATGTAATATTTAAATAAATAAACAAATCAGCTGATGGATGTTCTTTGTTTTGTCCTCTACTGTCAGTAGTAGAAACTTACAGTGGTGTGGGGGGGGAGTGTCCCGGAGTCAGTACTGAGATCCATGGAGTTGTTAAAAGGCAGCCCAAGGTCCCAGTCGTCCTCTGCTGCCTGTTAATCAAGAAGAAAAAAACAATTTTGTTGAAAAAGGTTAATAGAATTGGCTGTTTAATAAGCGGTGACACTCTGCTTTTCCCCTCACACGCTTTCTAATTACCACCTCATATGCAATTTTTACTGCTAAATGATTTTATTATAAATAATAGGCAAGAACATTAAACCCTTGTAATGTTTCTCAATCACTACAATCTAACCTAATGGCTTTGGAATGACCATAAGGGTTTTTTCTTCCTTTGTTTTACACCACTTCCATTGCAGTGAGAAGATAACACCTTGATAAGCCATCGAGGTTCAAATGAACCAGCCCATTGACACTAATAGGGGTCAGAGCAATAACACTGAATGGACAAATTGCACTGTCAATGCTTTTTAAATTATCTAGGTTATTTAATTTGACCTGTAGATGGTCTTCTGCAACTGTCTGTGTCACCTCAACATTACCAAGAAACTGAGTGACACACACACTGCATACACGCAAACACACACTTAGAGGAAATATGACTATTTAAGTGGGAGGTCTCCACTAGCCACTGATCTCTTAATAGAATGGACCTTTTTTCCCCCATTTAACCTGAGCTGGTATCAATCACATTGGAGAATTAAATGATCCCTGCTTGAATTGGCTACTATCATAAAATGACAGTGTGACCCCAGGCTGAGGAGGGAGGGGACGTGAAACGTGTGTTAGTGTGTCAAAGCGAATGTGTGTCTTATGTGCACACTGTGAATGTGTATGTGTATGACTGGGAGGGAGGGAGTAGACCACATTGTCTTTATTTGCTTCTGCTGTGATTCAGTTGAGCAGGTATTAACCACCATATCTAAGCCATGAAAAGACAAATTAAAAGAACTGCAAGCCATTAAATGGGAATATTTCTATCAAGCAACATAATGTCTGTATTACCTTTGGGTTGAGTGATGTTAGTTACTGTTCTGTAATGCCCTAAAGAGAAGAAACAAAAGCCCTGAGAGTGTAATACAAGCATTCACATTACAAATAACAGCAATACAATAGCTAAAGTACTTCAATACTGGTGTAAAAGTGTAATAAAACAGGAGGTGGGAGATTTTATCATGTCACAGTAGAGAAAGCCCCAGTGACACACAAAACAAATGATGGCTGAATTTCATTTAGCTGCTATAGTTTTAGGGTCCTTTTGCTAGCTCAGTGTACCATAGTCAAGGCTTACTTATGGAACAATTGAATCTTTATGTTATTAGGTTAATACACCTGTGCTTTCCCACTAAGACAGTTAACATGTCTAGTAAGAAGAAGGCCCACTGGAGTCTTAACCACAGAAGGTTATTGACAATTATTTTATAAAGTAAACACTCCATTCGCTGAATATATTGCAAATACAGGCAAATGAGCAAGCTTATAATAAATGCTTACTTTTCCATTAAAATTAGGTATATTCAGAGGTGGAAGAAGTACTCAGATTATTTACTTAAACAAAGGTAGCAATACTACAGTGTACAAATACTCAGTTACAAGTGAAAGTTCAGCATAACAAATGTACTCAACTAAAAGTAAACAAGTATTAGCACCTTAATGTTTTACTTAAGTACAGTTTTTGAGTAAATGTTCTCAATTACATTACAGCACTGGGTATATAACTGTTTACTAACCTCTATTTTAGTTCGAATATATTGAAGTCCAAATAAATGTAGGATATTGTTAGGCTATCCATGTTTACTTATATCAACCAAATTATGCTGACATTTAAGTAAAGTAAATAACATTGCCGTTTTCTATTGTAATTACCACCAGACTTAAACATTAGACCAAACCAAAAGCTAACTCAGTGCTAGCTAAATACAACAACATATTAGCTATCCTTAGCTTGCAAGTTGCTAACATAAACCAAACGATAAGTAAATTCATTTTAGGATATTTTTGTTAAAGAATATCTTCATGTCTCTAGGGGTTTATATGTGTAATGGTTTTAACGGAATATTCTGGTAAATGTTGAATTGTTAATGTTGCTACATTACCTTTAATAGTTAGCCAAACTAGCAAACAAGGGGAAGGCCAGACGAGTTGTTTTCAAAGACGAGCGCCCTCGGGCCTTATCATCAGGAGAAGCCAAGAGCAAACTGCCTTTGAGGCACAGCTTTAGCAGAAGTGTTGTTCAAAAATATTTTTTTAAATAATGACAAACATGTTAGGAAAAATTTGAATATCTACATCTTTAAAAAAATTATTTTTAACTGATTTAAAATTGTTTATAAAAAAAAATGTGGGAAAAGGGCAGTTTTCATGAATGCAGTGCTCTTCAAATGTACGGCAACGATAATTGTTGTCATAGGTTACTAAGTGTTTTATTTGCCAAGTTTCTTTTCGCTGTTGGTCATTTAAACGATATATTTTACCATGTTCGCACACCGGCTCACAGCCCTAAAGTGACACCAGCAGCCTCGAGGCGAAACAATGTGTGAAAAACTTTATTTACAATATCTGACTAAAAACACATCTATGACATTGCTAATTTACTTATCAAAATATACGTATTTGTTGGATTTAATAATTCAAGGGACAATAAAAACCTATACGTGATACTCAATCAATTGAGGCAGCATCGGCATTAGGCTACTGACTGAGTCAGAACTGTTTTGAATTCCTATTCCCATTTTCCATTCAATCGTTTTTTGAGACTTTTTTAAAACATGTATTTGAAGACAAGTCAACACAGTGGACATAGCAATATGTATAAATAGACCGTAGCCGTATAGGCTATAAAACAAACCTGGAATTAAACGATCAGGCAGCAAGTCCTGTGTGAGAGAGGCCACTGTGATTTAGTCATTGGCGCCATCTAGCGATATGTATTATAAATACACCGTTACTGAAGTCGCCTCTGCGATGGACGTGCTCTGTTTCACCTGGTGGTCTACACACCTGTTATCAAAGTAGGAAGTGCGTTTCCCACTGCTGTTCCATCGTCTGGCAGACATGTCTTCAATTAAAGAAAGAGCCGCCGCGTTAAACCTGGCAGACAAGTTGTGTGTGCGTCCTCAAGGTGAGTAAATCAAACGCATTTCAACGACGTGTTGGGACTTATGCAGCGAATGGAGGCCTGCTCTTCATGCGCCTGATTATTATCAAAGGCAACTAGGATACACTAAACAAAACACACTAAATCTTCCCTAAAATTGTAATCCCCACCTATTAACAAACAACCCTTACCCTGCTGACTTTGGTTAGTTAGAATGTCTGTCTTTGCATTCCTCCACTAGCCTGTCCTCTTCTCCATGCTTTTGATCTCACAAATGGTCGTGTAACCTTGTTTATCTGTTAAGTGTAATTTACACTGGGGTCCCCACCACTTTTAATATGGTTGACTTACTTTTTCAAAGTATAATTTGTAAAAAAATCAAAACACTTGCATAAAGGTTTATTGCACAGTAAGGAAACATAAAATGCAATGTTACTATTGACTTAATGAATATGTATCGTCATAAAGAATCCTCCACCAAAAATGATGCTTGCGCTGATCGTGTAATTATCTACTCTGTCCTCATTCCAATCCACCAATAACACTTCTTAAAATTGTATACAGCACCAGTCAAAAGTTTGGACACACCTTCTCATTCATGTTTTTTGTTTAAGTGTTTTACTACTTTTCATATTAATACTGAAGACATCAAAACGATGAAAGAACACATTTGGAATGATCTAGTTAACAAAAAAGTGTTAAAAAATCCAGAATATGATTTTTATTTGAGATTCTTCAAAGTAGCCCTGTTTTGCCTCGATAACAGCTTTGCACACTCTTGGCTTCTTTCAGTCAGCTTCATGAGGTCGTCACCTGGAATGGTTTTCAATCAACACGTGTGCCTTTGTGGAATCACTTGCCTTCTTAATGTGTTTGAGACCATCAGTTGTGTTGAGGTAGGGTTAGTGCACAGTGGAAAGCCCTATTTGACTACTGTTGTAATCCATATTATGGCAAGAACCACTCAACTCAGTAAAGAGAAACGACCGTCCATCATCACTTTAAGAAATGAAGGCCAGTCGATCCGGAAAATGAATTTGTTTTCAACCTCCGTGACTTTGTGAGACGCAGAGAAGGTGAGCGGATGGTTTCTGCATGTGTGGTTCCCACCGTGAAGCATGGAGGAGGAAGTGAGATGGTGTGGGGGGGGGGGGGCTTTGCTGGTGACACTGTTGGTGAATAATTCAGAATTCAAGGCACAGATAACCAGCATGGCTACCACAGCATTCTGCAGGAGCCAGCAACATATAAATCCTATTCTGGATTTTTTTAACACTTTTTTGTTTACTAGATAATTCCATATGTGTTCTTTTATAGTTGTAATGTCTTAAGTATAAATCTACAATGTAGAACATTTTAAAATAAATAAAACACTTTTTGTCCAAACTTTTGACTGGTGGTGTATGTCAAATAAACATTTTAAATCTTGGACCCCCTTTGTCCCCACCAATTTTACACAGTGTAATCTGTAAAAATCCACTGCTTTGACTGTCTCTGTGCCTTCCTCCTAGCTCCTGGTGTGGCCAGTAAACCGGTACAGTCGTCCTCCATGTGGAGCAGCCTCCTCTCCCACCTCAGGTCCTCTGTGACAGTGAAGCGTCGACGAGTCCACCTCAAGTCTCACAGCGACTGCTTCCTGGGCTCAGAGGCTGTGGATGTGCTGACAGAACACATCAGCTGTGGGAAAGCCTTTGAGGGTCTGTGTTTGTGGATTTTAAATGTGTCTATTCCATTCTACATTAACTCATTGGGTGAATTTTCTTTTGAGGGTTTTAATTTGACTTGAGACCATTTTCTATTTATTGATAGACCAAAATCATGCATTTCCCCTTTCTGCTTGGTTAATTTCAGGTGCTGATGTTACACGGGACAAAGTGGTGTGTGTGTGCCAGGCTCTGTTGGACTGTAATGTGTTTGAGGCAGTGGGTACCAAAGTGTTTGGCAAAGACAAGAAGCAGGATGTGTTTCAGGACAGCAAGAGTGCGCTTTACAGGTAATAAACAAACAAACAAACACACAAAACATATTTTTCTGGCAGTCACAATGTTTATATTCAGGTTTTTGTGAATGTGTTGACATGCTGCCATTCTACACACAGGTTTGTAGTTCTGTGTTCTCCTTCGGTGGATGAGTTGGAAAAAGGAGTGCTTGTGAAGGGGATCCAAAGACTGTTCTGCAGTGCTCCTACAGACAGGTACTAAATCATTTTATTTTCATAGCAAACATTACAAACCTGTCTAGCCTGTCTATTAAATAATTAAAAGCAGTTGTGAATTAATCCTGATTTAGGCATTAGAAAATTCACCGAAATACATAAATGTGGAATTTTGAGATAAGTCTCTAAAATAAATAAATATGGATTTATGAAATGCAAGTCCCCTGAAATAAATACATTTAGAATTATAAAATAAAACTCCCCTGTTCTAAATAAATAAATGTGGATTTATGAAATGCAAGCCCCTTGGAAGTAATACATCTGGACTTAGGTCCCCTAAATATTTTTTGGGGGAAATGAAAAAAAAAAAAATATATATAATCAAATCAATGTGTATTTAAAAGTTCCTTGAAATAAATGAATCTGGAATTATGAAAAAAAATCACCCTGAAAAGAAAATGTGGGTACATGAAATAATAGTCAACTATTTATTTGGTTAGTGTTTGTTATTTGATCAATATTGTCTCGTTGACATATTATTTGAGGATTCATTTCATTTGCATATTTATTTATTTAATATTATAAAATGAAATGGCTCTGTTTTGCATTCCAGGCAAGAGGAGCAGACATGTCCCTCTGGTCTGCATGTTCAGTTTTCAACACCTGTCAAATGCACCCAGACGTTCCTCCAGGCAGAGCAGCACCTCTCTCCTGCTGCTGGCAGCCTGTCTCTGGGCCCTCAGATGGACAGCCTGACTCCCTGCAGACTGCACAATGACACCGCTCTACCACAGTCATGTAAGACATTCATTTCAACATTTGAGTATATCATCCTGCTCATTTAACATAACAATCACTCTAGACAATATTTTAATGTCCATATGTTCTGTAATTAAGTTCCATATTTAATGGAGACTGGTGCAAAAAGGAGTCATTAAACTCTAAAAGGTATATTTTAATTGTCTTTTTTTGTGTCTCTTCCTCTCCCCAGTGGTGGACGAGATCTGGCAGGAGCAGACTCTGCTCAGGCTGTTAAACCTGGTGGAGCTCCCCCTGCTGGAGGGGGTGCTACAGTGGTGCCAGAACCCCGCCCCCCCCCTCTCCATCCAACCTGCTGCCTTGCAGTAACCCCAACCTGATCTACAGCAGCAACCACCTGGACCGGCAGATCCTCAGGGCCTTCAGGGACTCTCAGTACGCTCCAAATATCTTGCTGCTTAAAACCTATTAGCTCTAAATAGTGCGCAATACTACAGCAGCTTGTGACAGATGTGTTTGCATTTTTAAATGATCCATTCCTCTGTAACGACCTCCTCAATTGGTTTCTATATAGGCAAATTTTATTGTTATCAGATGTATTAGATTAACATTAAGACTCCATTCCATTTGTTTTTTAAAGATTCAGAACAATACAAGATGGTGTCAATCTTGAATTCTAATTGCCTTTAAATATAGTGTATAAAACCATAAAGGGGCGTAGTAGTTTAACTGACTACATATACCCAAGTATACTAAGATTTTAGGTAGTGTATTATACTTACTGAACGGTTTAACATTTGCTACTTAAAATATATTTTTGATAAAAATACATTTTGTGCTTTTACATAAGCAAGATTTTAAATGTAGGGCTCTTATTTGTAAAAATTAGGTCTGCACAAATTGACTTATTGCAATTATTTTGACTGATGAGACAATTGCGATATGATTCGCAATATTAGAGGCAACGATCATTTATGACACATTGTTCGCATTACCATTGTATATATGTTTTAGGATTTTTTTTAAGTCTGTAGAATACCGTTCTTTAGCACCACAATACTTCATTCAGAATTATATTTTTACATATTTAGCCTTTCCCAAATATTGCGCTTACATTAATTGAGTTCTAAATATCTGCTGATTGTGCTGTGCTCCTCCTGACCTCAGGGAGGACGAGTGGCTCGGTGCAGCTCTGGACTGTCTGGACTTCCTCCCTGATCAGCCGGTGGTGGAGCTGAGCCGGGAGCTGCCTCTCTGCGAGCCTCAACATCAGGACAGCAGTGAACACGGTGGAGGCAAGGGCTTGGATGAGAATCAGTAAAGAGTGGTGTAGGAATTAGTCTTAAACCTGAAATCAGTTTGCATTTTACCACTTCCGATTCATGCCTTAAAAAAGGTCCATGGTTAACACAAGCTGAAAATAAGTTTATGTTTGGTTCTATGACATAAAATATGTCAGTAAATACTGATCTTCTGCAATATTCCAAAATCCAATGCAGAAATTCCATTGTTTGTTATCACTGCACCACTCTATACTACAATAGCAAAGCAAGTATCTGGTTTCTCAAATATATCATGTACAATGTGTTGGAGCGCCAGGAAAATGCATTTCTGGAGAGAACTTTGGGATTTTAGCCTTTGCAGACCATTTATATGTGCAAAAATCTGTCACCCAAAAAGCACAACAGGGCCTCTTAGAGAAGTTGTTCTCATGTTTTAATACTGTGCTTCAGGTTTGTGTTGAAAGCACGTCACTGCTTCTGTTAACACTATACATGTCAATGTGTGTATTCTGTCTCCAGTGCATTGTCTGAGTCTCTGTGTTTCCTCCCCAGGCAGCAGCAGTGATGAGCAGCCTCGCCTCTCCCTGAGCGGTGTGGCTCAGTGTAAGCTGCTGCTGTACGGGACCCTGGTGAAACACTACAGCCACACAGACAGACCCCCCCTGATGCCCCCACACATGACTGACATCTACACAGCCATCACCGACCTACTGGGTAAGAACTGACTCAGAATCCCAGAAAAAGGCGTAATGTGGACACAGGCCCTTACCCAACTTATCTTAAAGGGGACCCATCATGCAAAATGCACTTTTAGATGTATTTTATACATAAATATGTGTCCCCGGTGTGTCAGGGAACTCACAAAGTGTCAGAAAACAGAACCCTCTCTCTTTCCTCCGTACCCAAATCTCTAAAAACGGGGGTAAAACGGAGCGGATCCAGATTTGCGTCCGATATGACGTAATATCGGAAATGTGGGCTGGCTTTACGCCCACGGCCCTATCAGAGAGTTGCTATCGGAAACAATGCCCGACTGTTTTGGACGTAATATGGTCTTTGTTTACATTAGCAATCATCGCTAATACTCAGAGCTAACCTGTACTGGAGAGAGTATGTGTAAAAAAGCAGGATATAAAAAGGTACTCACCTTGTGGTAAACCCGCAAGAGAAAAAGCATTTGAGCTCCATACTGTTTCAGAAATAATCCTTGATGTGGTTTGGAACATGATATGGTGTTTAATCACGGTAGAATTTAACTGCATCTGCCGGTAGAATTCTGAGCAGACATTAGCTCCCCCTCCTTTTTTTCTTTTTCTTTTTTAAAGCTAAGGACCCAAAATCAGTGTTTCTCTAACAGGGCTGAAACAGAGGGATATGAGGGATGTCTAAAATGCATGATCTGTTTGGTATTTTGAGCAAAACATATCATAGACATGTTTTTATATATTTGTATATATCTGAGACTCATAATATATGCCTAAAAATAGCATGATAGGAGACCTTTAAATGTTCATAATCTTACATCTCTTACATTTTGTGTCTCTTGCCTCCCAGTGAATGCTAAACTGAACATGGCTCTGGAGGCTCTGCAGCTGTGTCTGAAGCTGCTGCCCCCCGGCTGCAGAGACCAGCTGCGCAAGGTGCTCACATTTATGGCCCTGGCAGCTGACCCGCAGGGGATAAAACTGGACAAGGAGGTGAGAAGAAGGCACTGAATGTTATGTTGGATAATGCATTTTTAAAATGTGCATTAATATTTTTCTCCAAATAGAAAATCATCCCCATAGTACAGCTTCTCCACTTAAGTGAAGTAGGTGGCAGTTTTTAAAATGAGGGTTTGTTTTCAAATCTATACACCTTTTCTGTTTTGTTTTTCTGTGAAGCTGTTCAATATGGGTCGGTTTGTGACCAGATTTCTTTTAGCCGCACAACTAATTTTAGAATCAGACCAAATTTCAGCTTCCTGTTGTCAATTTCTGCGCATTGTACAGGTTATGTCACATATTTTGGTTGTCGTTTGAAGTAGAGCAACAAACAATTTCCCCAATCGTTAACAATATTAGGGCTGAACAATTGATCATAATGTTATAGATATCTACTAGTGCAGGGGTTCTCAAACGTTTTGTTTATGCGGACCACTATTTATTATCAAGGATTTTCGCGGACCACCTCATATGCAAACCGTAAAAATAAGTACATATATAAACGTAGTGTTAAAAAGCCGATATTTTTTTATAGTTAATTATAGACAATCAAAAGTAAATTGAAGCCTATCTGATACTGTTATCACACGTGTGACCGGTGTCTGTCTGCGTTGTGTATGTTTCTCAAAGAGGACGGCGGACAACTTCTTTCTTTCTTTTGGTCCTCCTTGACCATATATTCAAATCTGTAGCATACAATCATAGAACTCAACAGCTGCATCAGCGAACATGAACTGCAGCTCCAGCTCTTTCAACATCCGATATTGCAGGAAAGAGACGCATAACACAACGTTTACAATATCAAAGGATTTGCGTAAAAAAAAGTTTTTCGGGGTTCGGGTCTTTAGTTAGATTTTAAATAAACAAAGTCTTGGCTTTCAGAATATGAAACTTTTATTTCCAAAATCACACGATAAATACATTTTTGAAGCTTGTAGGGTAGATGACCGGCACCTCTCACTCGCACTCTGCTCTGCTCTTCCGCAGCGCCGCTCCCCCTCCCTCCCGCTGACATTATGAATGTAAGACTATAGCAGTGGTTCTCAAAGTGGGGGGCGCGCCTCCCCTGGGGGGCGCAGAGGCATGCCAGGGAGGGCGCAAGAGACCAGGAGGAAAAATGGTTATTAAAAAATAAAATAAAAAATAATCATAATTTGAAAAATTATTGATTCGAAAATAATATGATACAGTTCAGTACTATTACATCTGGGTCTCTGTGTTTCATTAAAGCTCAGCTCTGTGTGTGTGTGGAACGAGCCATTTTGTGTGCGCGAGCGAGCGAGAGAGAGCGCACCGTTACCGGAGATCGTTGTTGTTAGCTTCTGGTGCTAGCGAGCTACGCTAACGTATATAAGGAGTTTTTTCAACAACAAAGTGGAGGAGAGTCCTCTCCTGTCAGACTGAGAGACTCAGTGAACTAAAGGACTCTGAGTGTTATCTCAGTGGGTCTCAAATGTTTTGGTCACCATTAATGTAAACAATTATTTCCGAGGCACACGTTTATATGATCATTATAGTTATAAAAAAAATAAGAGAATAAATGAAAAACAGGTATGAAATACTATATGACAGTAAAACAAGAATAAAGTTTAAAAGGGTGATTTGTAAAATATCCATAAAGAAAAAGTAAATCTGTTTACAGTTCTGTTTCATATGGGTGTTGGGAGATGTATCCATAGATCTCTTCATTTTGCTCTCAAAGTGCACCAGATTGATGCATTTAACTTCAATATTTAAAAATAAATCTTTCCGGGGGAGCTTGCCTCCGGACCCCCCATGTGAGGTCCACACACCACCTATAAAAATAGCACTTTACCCCTGCTTACACCTATATGCGGTGAGCTGATTATCGAGCCTTCATTGTAACAGTCGCGGGTACATTGTGTATATGCGTGGGGAATGTTGCAGTAGAAAATTCCACTGTAGCGACCGGTACATTAATGGGAAACCCTAAATGTTTGAGCACCCTCTATGAAACGTCAAGCTACCCCACAGCACCCCCAAAATAAATCTCTGGCGCCGCCACTGAGCCTGACTTGTGTTGGGGTGGCCCGACTTTTTTTTTTCTCCAAAGGGGGGGCCTGACAGAAAAAGTTTCAGAACCACTGGGCTACAGTAATCATAGGCAGGGGCGCCGCCAGGGATTTTGGGCCGCATGAAAAGACCCCCCCCCCCCCCCCCCCCCCCCGCGCAGTGGTTTTGAAATGCTCCCGATTTCTGAGGTCTCAAGGTTGGCAAGTATGCTCATGGACCACACCCACCTTTTCTTTTGAAAAACTGGGTGACGTACTGTCGCCCTTTAGTCCCTCTCTTGTCTTTCTCTCCTTTCTTTTCTTTTTTGAAAGCCTGACTTTGTTAGTCGTTGAGACATGGTACACACGTAAGTACTAGCATCCCTGCTCCTCACATGCTCTCACTCTCTGCTAGTAAGTGCCGGTGCCGCACCGCGTTTGGAGGCAGGACCAAACCATTACATGTAAATAGTACAGAGGCTTTGGATAATTAACTTTTGGAAGAAAAGTTAAATGAATCATACATTTAGTGAGTACATTATCAATATAACGTTCTATTAATGTTAATTATTGATGAATGATGAAAGGTTACTTAAACATTTTTTTCTTAACGTTCTAAAATTGTTTGGGCCCTTAGAATCGTCCTAACTTTTCACCCCCTTACGGCGACTCTGCATATTTTGCTTGATATTTGGAGTACAAAAACAATCCTGATATCATTAGAAAGCTGGGAATCTCCTCTTCCCAACTCAAAATGTGTCTTCAGGGGTCAATGCGACTGATTTTGATAGAGCAAGTCACATATGAGGTGGTCCCCGAAAATCCTTGATAATAAAAAGTGGATTTTATTTAGCTTTTTTTCCACGGACCACCTGCAGTACCCTCGGTCCGCAAACCACAGTTTGAGAACCGCTGTACTAGTGCATTATTCAAACCGCACCACAATGTTCATTAAATGCTAAATATCTGTTAACAATTTGAATCAAGTACTGCGGAGCTGCAGATATATCTCGGCCGACAAAAAACGTGTTTTACAGACTTAAAAAAACACATTTGTTTGATACAGTTCCTCTAAAAGGAAACATGATGATTTTAATTATTTATTATTGATGAGAGAAATTATGGAAATTGTACTGTAAGAATTCAACTGTATATCCCTCCCATATCGTGACCATAGTTTCAGTCGAAATTATCCCAATTAGTTTTTTTTTTCCAATTCCCCTATGATCTATTCAGTTAAACAAAGCGAGCTTATCTCCCATTCTAATGGCATAATAGACAAGTCCACGTCCTTATGGCCACCTGTGAGTCCATACCTTTTTTATTTTGGGAAGTTTTTAGCACACGTGTTGCACAGACGATTTTTTGCTTTATGATGAACCGTACTGATATCATTTTTAAGACTTTCAAAACAAAATTCAACATGTCTCGATAATTGTCAATTGCCAGTGCATACCTAGCTTTATTTGACATTAAAGATGTGCGGTTGATTGTCAAGATGGAGAACAGACAAGCGGTGAAGAGGTCTTTCTTCAGGGCGATGCTCCACAGCAGGGTTCTATCTAAGGACAAAGAGGACCTGATGGTGGTGTTCATGCTCAGCAACATTAAGGAGATGTTTAAGGTAAGGAATGTCTGCATATATTATATTTCTCCTCTGTTTAGGCAATGGGTTCCTTTTATACTGTATATGAGGGTGAATATGCACTATGTAATGCACTTGAAAAAATCCCCCAACTAAATAAAAGAAATAGTGTTTAACAGTACTTTTAGTTGATAATTCAACAATGGAACACATTTTGTTTCAAAAAATACATTTGTGTGACTCCAAGCCTGTCGATACACACATTTACTATGAATCATATATTTCATAAATCTAATTTACTGCTCACTTCAACAGAACAGTAATACAGTTTTTAGAAAGAGTAGTGAATGAGTGAAAAATGAAGTGATTTTGGTCACTTAAAGGTAGCATGAAAGTTTGAGAAACCGGCTCGAGATCGCTAGAATTTGAAAATACACAACCGGAGAAAATCTGCCACTTCCTTACAGAGCCCCTCCTCCAACACACACGAACGCGCACATGACCAATGAGGGCACGAGATAAGTCTGTGCACAGATGGAAGGCTGACAGACAGACTAACATGCTCACAATGACAATTCTATCATGCTAATAAAGCAGGTATAATTGTTACCATGTTAACCATTTGAGATAGCATTCTCAAAACTGAAAGGCATCATAATATAATTCAGTTTTGAGATTTCAGTTAAAGCTATATAACAAGCATTCCTAAAAAAAGAGTCGATTTAAATAGCATATGTTGTGATAGCTTGACCTCATATATATTGTGTTGTCATTTTGAGTTGCAAGAAATTACCGTCTCAGACATTCACTGAATAGGATAAGTGGGAATTGAAAATACTTCTACAACTCAAGTTCAAGAAAATACTTTTTGAAGTGTTATTTAATCGACAAACCAATCTCTGCCATTATATAAGTTGACGTTAAGTTTTCCTCTCCTCTCTCCAGATACCAGGGGCTCTGCACAATGTAGTGAGTGAGAAGCTGGCCGGCCTCGTACAGGGGGAGCAGCCCGATGTGACCAGTAAGGCTGTTCATGAGGGTCAATCCAACGGCAATCGAACACAAAAAGATACAGTCCGTCACTGTTTCCTCAAGCACCTGTCACCCCAGGTCCGGTTCTGTTTCCTCAAGCACCGGACCTGGGGTGACTGAGTACTCTCCACCGCTGCCCCCACCCTCTGGAACTCACTCCCACGACAAATTAGACTGTACTGACGTCCCCACCTTCAGTGGACTGACCAAAACTCACCTTTTTAGACTGGCTTTTAACATGTGATTGATGACATGTCCTTGTCACAAATGTGGTTTTATTGCTCGATTTTAATAAGACTTATCTTATCTTATTTTTTCTTACCGCTGTAAAGCGTATTTGAGCACTTGATACAGCGCTTGATAAATAACATGTATTTTTATTATTAGGTTAAATTGTTTATTACAAATAATTTAAAAAATCACAGACATTTGCATATTGCACTTTGACGTATTTCTATTTTACAACCATTAAACCTTGAAGGAAATATTCCCTGCAGCAGCTAACTGTAAGGAAAAGTGTCCACTTCCAAAATTCACTGTTACTATTTTAGTAAAAACTAAAGAAATGTTCAACATTCTTATAGGGACTCACTGAACAGAAGTGGGGATTATTGACAGTAAATGGTGAAATGTAGTGTAACACTAACTCATACTTGTTAAAGAGTCATAGATTTAGACAACTTTCTGATAAATGTGAGTTTCCCAGCAGACCTGCAGAGTGTTGTACAGCTCATTTTTTGGGTTTTACACTCCATAACCTTTATTTGTTTTGGTTCACTCTTTCTGCTCTTATCAATCTCAAATAAGGTATAATGCTTTACAAAGTACAGAGATGGAGGAGACCAAAACAGAGTTTAAAGAAAACTGAATATAGACATGCATTTGACAGTTGGCCAGACAATGCAATTGATGCTACATACCTGCTGGAGTTGCAAGTCGGCATTTGCCTGCTAACACATTTCCCTTAAAAAGCAACGTTGTATTGCCTCTAAATTGCCAAAACTACTAATTGAGTGCAATGTGGCACTTTTAATCTAAGTTCCTTCCTTGTTAACACTTCTCCGTCTCCATCCTTCAGGTTTTACGTTCTGTCAGCAGGTCTCCAGAAGGATTCACGCTGACTCTACAAAGGAGACCACCAACCAGGCCCTGTGGACTCTGCTGAACAGCATCTACCAGGACCCCAAGGTCTCTGCCAAGGAGAAAAAGCGCCTACTCGGACAGTTTTATCAAGCGCACCCTGAGATATTCAACAAGTACTTTGGTGAATCTGCTGTTAATGTGCTTTAGTTTTGTGAAGACAATGACACGGGCACATAGTCTTTATCTCTCAGTCTTCTACAGTCAGTTTCACCAGGAGCTAGTTATTACCATCTTTGGTCTTTTTCTTTCGTCCCAAGCTAACTGACTTAACATATGTGAGACTTACAAAAGATCTTATGGGAGAGGGCAAAGATTCTTCCAGCATACAATTGCTTGTATATGTGTGTATTTGCTTTGTTATTGACAAAATAAATAAAGTGTTGATAAGTGTTTGTCTTGAATATAACAAGTGTTTCTGTGATTAAGCTTCTTTGTTTCATTTATGGGTGTGTAAGGGTAATACAAAACAAATATAATAGAATCAATGAGAGATAGTCCATCAGTTGTGAAATAAAAAAAATGACAAAAAAAGAGACTTATGTTAAGTATTCCGTTTTTTCTGGTAGGTGTATGTAATTTGGTTAAAGTAGCTCACATCGGTAACAACCAGATTTAACTTTGTGTATTGCACATATCCTTTAATATCAAATTGATTCTTGTAGTAATTACCATTCGGAACTTGTAGAGCTTCTATGCCATACATGCACTTCAACCATTTAAGTCTACACAGAAATAACTCAATATTTTAGTGGATTTTAAGTAAGTATAACACTTACTGTGATGTTCTACCTTCATCTTCTTCATACAGACATAGTAACAGTTGTCAGTGTATTACTGTGGAAACATAGTGTTGAGAGTAATGTTTTTTCAACTTTTTTGTTTGTGTTTTTAGCTGGCAAATACATGACATACACGTTTAGTAGTCAAAGATCGATGTTTGTCTATTTTCTTACAACTTCTACAGTGCAATAAGGTAAACCTAGGTGTTTTATTGGGGGATTATAATAAAGTATGAATATTTTGTATTTGAAAGAAATGTTGTCAAACATTTCAATTGTCTTCTAGGTCAATACTTTATGAATAAATTATATATAATAACACATACATAAATTGTATTATTGAATAATAAAATCCTAACTGTTTGATGTTCTTATAAACGAGTCATGTTTATCATAGAACTTGGTTTAATAACCTATTAGTGACGGAGCAACATTATATCCACATGGCTGTTATCATCACAATACACGAACCACGCCTGTAGATCCCTACCACCGGTACGGTGTCTGCAGAAGGACAACAGAGACCAAATGCGAATACTCTACATCCCCTTTCTTTAGCTCTTCCTACAGTAATGAACAAAACTGTTATACTGAACACATATGACAGAACATACAAAATGCTGCGAATGTACACATTATCAAACTATGTGTGCATTTAGTAACTGATGAACACTACACAATCTCAAAGAATGAGTGTAGCAATTAACTCGGTAATTACTACAGTAACAAAGTAGATTACTAAAATAGAGTACATTTGCACTGTGAAACAAAACTTTAAGTCTCAATATGGCATTACTGTGTGAACTAACAGTTTAGAGTCACTGTTCTCAGAGTGGTATGTTTGTGCATACATGACAAAGCTTCAGTCTCTGTATTTGGGATTAGGCTTGATAGCACGGCCTGAGCGTGTCCTGTAGACACTCTCGGGAGTGTCTGACAGCAGTTTAGCTGTGGGAACATCAGCCCTCATGTGTTCACTGTTCAGTGATTCCTGTGTGTGTGTGTCACAATCTGTAAACTCAAGTCCTGTGTCTTGATGATCGGTGTCACTTGTAGAGGTGCGTGACGGGACCGGCTCATCTACAGGCAGAATGTGCCTACGATTCCTTCTGTACAGCTTCCCCTCTGAGTGGACGACGTACGACCGGGGTTCCTTGCAGATCTCTTGAATCATTCCAGTCCTGTTGTAACCTTGTGGGGTCTGCATCCTAACAACCTGTCCTTCCATCAAAGGTTGTAGTGGTCGGCTTGACTTATCATAGCACTGTTTTTGATACAACCTCTTGTTTAGAAGCTGGGCTTTTACCTCTTGTGGGTGACGCATATCTGGCTCAAGCAGCTTCACCGAGACTGGGAGTGTTGTACGTGTTTGTCTCGACATCAGTCTCTGTGCAGGAGATCCTAATTTTGTGTCACGTGGTACATTCCTGATGTTTAATAGGTTAAGAAAAACATCAGTTCCATCTCTATGAGATTTCTCCATGAGCTGCTTCGCACTGCGCACAGCCCGTTCAGCTAGCCCGTTGGACTGGGGATACTCAGGGCTGCTGGTAATATGAGTGAAGTCCCACTGTGAGGCAAAGTCTTTAAAGCGCTGGCTAGTAAACTGCCTTCCATTGTCTGACATGAGTGTGTGAGGTGCTCCATGAACTGAGAAATGTCTTTTCAGCTTTGCAATGACTGTTGCTGCAGTGATATCACGAAGCATGTCTATCTCATACCAGCCTGAGTATGAGTCCACTAGCACTAAGTATTGCTGATTGTGCCACTCAAAGATGTCAGTTGCTACAGTTGACCACGGCAGGTCTGGAACTGGATGCAGATGGAGTGGTTCTTTCTGCTGGTGTGGTTTTGTGCTGTTACATACAGAGCATGACTGTATTTCTGTGTGAATGTTGTCTGTCATATTTGGCCAGAAAACAATGCCACGTGCTCTCCGCTTTGTAGCTTCTTCACCAGGATGTCCTCTGTGCATGATGCTGATGTATTCTTTCTGTAGTGACAGAGGAATAACTGCTTTGTGACCCTTCATTATGACTCCATTTTCAACAATCAGTTCGTCTCTGAAAGGAAAATACGGTCTAATGGCATGTGGAAGATTATGCTGTTTAGCGGGCCACCCGTGTCTGACAGTGGTGCTGAGTGTTTGCAGAGTCATGTCTTCAGCGGTGTGCCTCTCTAACTCTTCTAAGCGAGAAGAAGATATGTAGTTAACAGTCATTACGTCGAAGTTGTCCTCTTCTTCAGCTTGCTGAACTGTGGAGCTGCGGGGAGCTCGCGACAAAGTGTCAGCCAGGAACATTTGCTTTCCGCATTTGTACACAAGAGTGATGTCGTACTTTTGTAGTCGTAGCATCATTCTTTGTAGTCTTGCAGGTGCTGTGTGTATGGGCTTTTTTAGTATGGTGACGAGGGGCTGGTGGTCTGTTTCAATAGTGACTGGTTTACCATAGATATAGTCATTGAATTTTGAACATGCAAAGACCACTGCCAACAGCTCTTTTTCGATTTGAGCATATCTGGTTTCCGTTTCAGTTAGCGTACGCGAAGCATACGCTACGGGTTTTCCTTCCTGCAAACACGCTGCACCGAGTCCGTACTGTGAAGCATCACAGGTAAGTGTCACTGGCTTGTCAACATCATAGTATAGCAACACCGGTGGGCAAGACATGCGTTTCTTTAAATCTTCAAAAGCTTTCTGCTGCTGTTCATGCCATGTCCATTCTGTGTCTTTATGTGTGAGCTGCCGTAGTGGAGCTGACAGCTGGCTGAAGTTTGGTATGAACTTTCCAAGGTAGTTGACCATCCCCAGAAATCTTTGTAAGGCTGGGACGTCTGCTGGCACTGGCATCTCACTAATAGCACTTGTTTTGGAAGGATCTGCTTTGAGTCCTTCACTGGTGAAAACATGGCCGACATAGCCGACTTGGCTTAGCCTGAACTTGCACTTGAGGGGGTTAAGCCTTAAATTAACCTCCCTGACCCTGTTAAGCACTTTTCTCAGGTTGGCGTCGTGCTCTGCAACATCTTTACCTGCAATAATGATATCATCAACGATGATTTCACAGGGGTATCCAACGAAGATCTGTTCCATGGAGCGCTGGAACACCTCGCTGGCAGAATTGATTCCAAATGGCATTCTTAGAAATCTGTAACGACCAAAAGGGGAGCTGAAAGTGGTTAACATGGAAGACTTATGGTCGAGTGGAACCTGCCAAAAGGATCTCTTTGCATCCAATACAGAAAACATAGTTGCTTTTGACATGTGTGTAGCGACTTCTTCCACAGTACGCATAGGATGGTGTGGTCTTTTCAGAGCAGTGTTCAAGTCTCTTGGATTAATGCATATCCTGATTTCTTGTTTGTCCTTTTTGTTAGTGGCTACCATAGAGGACACCCAATCAGTGGGCTCTGAGACAGGAATAATGACGCCCAGTTCCTGCATCTTGTCGAGTTCAGCTTTGACTCTGTCTTTCATAGCCAAAGGTATGCGATGTGCAGGACGAACGACTGGTTTTATATCCGGGTCGAGAGTCATGGAGTACGTCACAGGTAGCTTTCCAAGCTCATCAGAGAAGAGATCGCTGTATTCTGTTTGGATCTCAACTGAAAAATCATCGTCAGTGGGGCTTAATTGATGAACTGCTTCACTGAATGAAACTAGTCCCATCTGTCTGCACGCTCGTAGCCCAAGCAGTGGCAGGACATCCTCTTCTACAATGTAGAATGGTAGTGTGTGGACTTTTCCCACTAGGTGGCACTGCAGTCTGACTACGCCCGCAGTTTTGATTTTGCTTCCACCATATGCAACAAGATTAGTGGATTTAAAACACGTCTGTATTTGTTCATCTCCTTTTATCACATTGAGTGATATTTTTGACAGAACATTGCACTTCGCACCAGTGTCTACTTTCATCTCAACTATATTGTCATTAATGTGCACAGTGACAAAAGCCTCATCCTTTTTTTTTATCTGTGCATCAGTTGCATCAACACTTACTTGCAGTGTTACGCCGTCAACATAGAATGTTTCATCTGTAGTTGTATCAGCTTGATCAGGTTCTAGTTGATGAACTATCCTCCTGGGCCCTTGCTTGTTATATGTTTGTTGTATGGACTTGCAACACTTTTTGAAATGATTCCACTTTTTGCAGGTATGACACTGTTGACCATTAGCTGGACAGTTGTCCCTCTTTGCTGCATGACTACCTCCACAGTTGTAGCAGTTGGAAATACAGCTAAATCCATGTGTATCTGCCTGAGGTTTCCTTTTGTTGTCGTATTTTCGTGTTCCTCTCTGGTAAGTCTGAACTGAATCCACGTTTGTGGCAGAGTGCTGTGGCATAGCTAGCGTTTTATTGTGCTCTTCAGTCATCTCATGGATCTGACATATGTTAACAGCTTTGATTAGTGTTAAATCACAGTCTCTCAGGAGCACTTTCCTTAAGTTGTCATTACTGATACCACAGACCAGTCTATCTCTGATTAGTTCTTCATAGAGATTCCCAAATGTGCAGCTCTTTGCCTTGATCCTTAAAGCACTGACATACGATTCAATTGGCTCACTAACATTTTGATTCCTTGTATTGAACTTGTGTCTTTCCATAGTGACATTTGTTTGAGGGTTGCACATCTCCCTATATTTTCTTTTCAGACACTCCGGGTCTTCTTTAGACTCAGCATGAGTGATGATGGGCGCATCCACGCCAGGACCCCTCACTTCAGCCGCATAGACGAAAGACCTCTCGCGCTCGAT